ATGATGATGATGATGATAATGATGAATTCATTCGGTGGTTATATCACCAATTTTGTGAGTAGAAGATCAGGGTTAGGGACTTTACTGAACAATACGTGGCATAAATTTGGATCAGCGTCGGTCATGTCAAACGCTAGTTGTCTGTGCTTTGGTAAGCGTTCCCGACAACCATGCACAGTGCGCCATCCTGTAGAAACTGAGATCAACCTTGGACAAGAAGCTCGGACGAACTGGTAAAGAATTGGCGGAACGGCCAAATAGCTCGTCCACACTATTCCTTTCACTCTGATTCACGTGAATAACGCAAGTTTTAAACGGCCTTTATAGCTCAGAGTGGTCTTTTTGACTACACATAAAGTGGTAAGTTCTGGCCAGAATAGATTTGCAACCCAAACACCAATCTGTGGTTTGCAGTAGCTCCGGCCATATTACGACCAACAAAGATCTGCAGTTTGGATAGAAGTGATCAGCAGACTCAACTTAACCCCACGGAAGTGAAACTTTAATACTAGGAGTTATGATGACAACTCACACGTCCAATCTTAGACTTGACTAATCAGGATAACGTGCAGCACAACTCATTGAGGTCGAGTGTTAGGACCATTCGGCGCGCGTCTGCCTAATTATTGATTGTTTCGCTCTTGATGAGATGTTCGAAACGCTGGGGGATCTAATTCCACTCTACGTGTTCTTTACCAAGTAATGGAAGTACCCACATCACAACACTTGAGTGAACATTTCTGCAAACCAAGTAAATTATTTCTCGAAAAAGTTTGGTGACGATCGGTAGATTTATTGCTGGGCAACGTTTCGCTTTTGACACAAAAGCTTCGTCAGGCCAAGTGACTAGGTTCCGAGGTTGGTGGAGATATAAGGCGCAAGGAAAACCAATGAGCTAAGTCAAGCCAAATCTCTGTTGGGTGTCGGTCGAGGGATTTTTTAGTGTGTTAGAGTGTCGGTGGTGAAACCTACATGTGTTTGGGTCCAACCTAGGGTCTAGTTCTTCTGGTTCGGTTCATTTGATGGTTCCTCTTGAACTTCGTTTGAACCTTCTGTTAGTCTGTGTGGGTGAGCTAGTGCTAAGAAAGTTGTGTAGGAGGGATGCTGTGACCTTTGGTCGGTTGGGGTTTCCACCCCTACCCCCCGGTTTTTTCTAATGATCCTAAGTGGATTGACAACCACACCGTCACGTGTCAACTCGGCTTATCTAAGACCGCTTTCCATACGCTCGCTAGCTCCACACCCTCGATTCTATTCACGCTGTGATGCTTAGTAATTTCCACCGCCTCGGCTATCAGCCGCTGTGGTGTGAATCGCAGTCCCCGTCTTGAAACTTCCACATTCTCCAGATCTGTTCTATGTCCCGTGTCTAAGGCATGTACCGCCATCGCTGAGTCTTTGAGCAGCGTTTGGTATTCTTCTGCATTCCTTGGTGGTTTGGTATTATTCTTCTTTTATGCTCACCGATTCTGGTGTGCAATTCCCCGGCAGTTTGTCCTATGCAAACCTTAGCGCAATCGTTACAGTTACTTTTATACACACAGTCCCTAGTCCTTCCAACCGGTGGACTGTGTTTTCCTGTCAATCACTGATCGTTATTGTGAACAATAGTCACTAGGTCTCAATGATAACACCTGACCCGTTTGATAAGTCCCAGTCAGCATAAAATGCTTTATAAGACTGAACACAAAATGCCACTATGAATGTCTTTTGACGGCAATGAATTTGTCTACCCGAGCAATCGGTTGTGTGACCTGCGGTGGGTCGTCAGGTGAGCGCGAATCAGTGACCTTGTCTCAATTATAAGATGGAATTTCATGCGTAACTGAAGGGAGAATGTCCACATGACAGAATTATTCTCGCCTCGAATAATGCCTGGACAAAATCATAGCAAGACTGATTCGAGGGACAGTAAAGATCAGAAGGGAAGCGGGGAGCGGAACTTGCAAAATGCTTGTGTCCGAACAGCCCGATTTGACAAGCAAAACTCAAAGGAATTTCAAATGTAGCTGGATAAGAGAATGAATATCTGGTCTAGGGAACCAAGCTTTCGTTCTTTATCAGCAGATTAATTTTTGGCCTTCTATTACGAAAAGGAGGAAATGAAAAGTCTAAAGTTTCGAGGAACGCAGGTACGGTTACCATCGAACGAGGAAACACAAATACTATTGTTGTCAAGACGGGTTACCCCAAAAACCTATTCTGACAAATATCTATCCGGCAAACTGAGAGTTAGTCAGGCTTCCTTGCCGGTTTCTAGGCATCATTCCATCCGTGCACGTATGCACAGCACTCACCGGAAAGTTAGTCAAAACCATATCATCTGACATCGTTGGTGCCCGTCAGTAGTCGGGAAGAAAGTAGCCCCAGATTGACCCATTCAGAAAAGGCGATTTCGATTGTGTACCACGCACATACATAGCAAAAGTTAAAATAACAAATTAGGGTCGGTTGCCTCCCAGTAACCTGCGGTTAAATAATATGTTTAGCTAATGTTTTCAGTTTGAGCGAATTTTTCCATTTCGAATACGAAAGAGCCAGAATAGAGTGCGGTAGATGAACAGGTGGTGATTCATTTAACTAATGTGAGTAGTAATGAGTAGTAGAAAGCTGTCTGGTGTTCCATGGAGTGATTTCTGTAATTTTAAAGATGTAGAATGGGGATTTGAGTAGTGACGATGGAAATTTCAAAGCGAGTAGTATCTTCTCATCGGATAGGTTGGAGATGGTGTTTAGAATATGTGACAAATTACATCATGTTTCACAGCGAGTGATGTTAAATGTTTTTTTCACTACTAGGTCAATTCAGCAATCGAAAAGTAAGATTTAGCTCTCAGTGAGTATTTCTACCCATTTGGTCATCAGCTGTTTTATTAACTATGAAGACTCTGTTAACTTAATCGCCGAAATTCGTCTGCTGCAATATTCTGCTTGTTTCAGATACAGGAGACGAAAGTGAGGTGGTACGGCATTACTTGATCGAAGGACTACCTACCAGCCCAAGTGTGATGTCTCAAGCGATTGGTGTACCAGCGGCTTCACTTGCGCCGTCCAATGTCCCAATGGGTCCAACCGCAATGAGTGTCACTCACGGTCCTGTCCGATTACGGGGCTGTTCAAATGAACCTATATTCACCAATCTGGTCAGTTTACTATATGAGCATGTCGTCCAACCGCTGGCGCTTCCATTCGCCCTTCGACTGCCGTTTAAATCTCCGGCACCGACTTCAAGCCTACCTTCATTGATTGCGCTTTCTACACGGTCAGGAGAACCGATGGACCGCGCCACTCGCCCCCACCGTCACCATACTGGGGGCCATCTGTCAGGTATGTTGTCCATATTTGTAACGTACCTGTTACCTTATGCTTACATATTTGAACCCGTCCCACCCCCGAACACTGAATGGCCATTGTCTTTATTAGGAGTGTCTAAAGTGAGCTGTGCAAACTGTATCCGTGATCCCAAAACATGCCATATTGGTTGTCGCCCGTACTCACCAGCAAGTCCTCGTTGCTATCTGCAGCTGAGCTACTCCTGAAGTTCCCCTTCCCACCTCGCTTCACTGATGAAACTTTTTCGGCAGCTTACCCATGAGTTCAGTCCTAAAGTGAGCGGCCAAACTGTATCCGTGATCCCAAACCATGCCATATTGGTTGTCGCCCGTACTCACCAGCAAGTCCTCGTTGCTATCTGCAGCTGAGCTACTCCTGAAGTTCTCCTTCCCACCTCGCCTCACTGATGAAACTTTTTCGGTAGCTTACCCATGAGTTGAGTCCAACTTTTAACACCTTCGAACGAAAGATCCATGCTTCGTGTAAAATATGCAAGCAACTCAGGTAACTCAAAATCTGTTTCAACTACTTGAATTCGGCGAATCTGAATGCCTTTATTGCTCGTGGTCAGAGGGAAACGGAACAACAAACTGCTTTGGCTTAGACATGAGACTGGCTTTCCATCCATGTGTTCTACTTTTCCCAAACGAGTGTCTATGGCCGGAATATGGTTACCGAATATGTCTCCCCTCGGCTTGTTCTCGCTCCCACTTCCGCATCTAAGGTAGCTGCTATGCTGGAGTTTTAAGTGGAGCTATATCTGTTGAAATGGGTAAAAGCCCGCGCGGCTTTATGGTAGCTTCTGGGAAGGCACCAAAGAAATCAGCTGGTGATCTTTGTGTCCGCTGTACCTCTCCACGCTCTGACACTACTACGGACGGTTCTTAGGATGCTTCGGATGGCTTAAAAAAGTGGAACAGACAATAATAATTCTGGCCGAAAGCTTCATCTCCGCATGATGCGTTTCCTGGATCCGTTTGGCCGAATGATCTTCCGCATACATATGAACCAGCCCCAAATGCGAAGCGGCCATATTGCCACCAGCCGTCGGTGGCGCGAATGGCCCACCGCTGTGTGCTTTCCGAAGTGTGGAGTGCCGAAAAACCGCGGACCTCGAATGAGAAGCGACTGCCCTTACAAGAGGGAATTCTCCAAAATGTCTACACTGAACATTCCCTGGGTTTCACATCGCCGGAGAAGATATCTATTGACCTCCCTATAATTCAAGGGGAGATTTCAAGACCACAAACATACTACTCTTTGAATGAATAGCGCTTTGGCTGACGTGAATTCCAGATGAACAACAATGCCTCGACACGTTACTTGTCAAGGTCCTCCTTCTCGATTCACCTGGTTGGCCACCCGATTCAAGAATTTTAATTGGTCAACAAAGAGTGTGTGCGTGTGTGCACTCCTTAAATGCGTTGTCAGTGAAGAAAAAATAATCATCGACAGACGCCACTGATAAGGAAGGTGTGAAATTCGGTGCAATACTATTACTGCCACTGCTAATAGTAGTTGTAAGCGACAAAATCGATAAGTCGAGCAACGAGCACCGAAGAGTGGATCCGAATTCAAAACGAAAGTGATCCCGACAAAATGTGCTTTACTGTATAGCAAAATATCAATAAATCAATTAATGTACAACAAACCTTGACAGTTATCGACCGGCAGTTAGACCCACGACAAACACGGAGACAAGTATCAAGCGTGAGAAACCAGTTCGAAAAGTGCCCAGAATGTCCATTTAAACAAGTGATAATACGGTTCATTTTAGGAACCAAGAACATGTTCATAGTTTGTGCAACGCAATGTTTTTATGGATGGGATAGAGATGGGGTGACGAAATAACATTCCAGCGGCTAAACAGAACCCATCTAAAACCTATTAGAACAGGAGCCATTAGATAGAATGATCGAGCAGCCTTTACAAGGCTTACCAGAGAACCGTCCAGTCAACAAAGATAAAGGTTAACTTGGCAGTCTGGCTAGGATATGATAGCATGCCAACATGTAACTGTGAAGACTGCCTGCAAAAGGAGCTGAAACGACAGTGCACTTTGAAAAACGAGATTCGACCAAGCAAGAAATCACGAATGATGGTAACGGACGCTATTCACCATGTTGAGAAAACCAAGCCGTTTGAGCGAAAGCGACAACCGGAACCTAAATTAAAATGTCCATTGAACTGAACTGCACGCCAGTCAACAAAGTGAGCTTTTTTTATAAAAAAAACTTTTGTACCACTTTCTGGCATACCGACGGTGCCACAAAGTATCGTTGTCCCTTCAGAAGCGAGCGATTTGCTGAAAAAGTCCCTTCCATTGTGGTATTTGACTTTGGGAATATGGCTGAATACTGAAACCGTCCTCTTTTAACATCTCCCGGCTAATCCAAGTAGAGATATACGTTTCTACTAGAATGCGAAATTCACGAGGCATTTCGCTGCTAAAGCAATGGATGTCCGGCTAGAATTCAACCCTATCTGAGTCTTGGCTGGTCGTCAATACAGTGCACATCGGTGTGATAACAGAGGCAAAGGAAGATGATTAGACGTGCTGCTCGATAAGTTTGGAAGTGATTGGGGTTTTCAGAAATGCCGGAAGCGGGACCTTCAGGGAGAACCCTGAAATAAAAGCAGTCCATGAAGTACCTCAGTAGGTGAAACTATCACTGGAAAGAACTTTCCCCATCTTCAATAACGAACGGCTCCCAGGCTGTTGAGTCAAACAGTTGGTGAGGTCGAACGCGCTAGCAGAACCATAAAGCAGTATAGATTGTACCGCCGCAGTGCCCTTGACAGACAGATTATTTTCGCGTCGTTACCATAGGTCTCAGATGTTGGCAAAAGCTACCCTGACCTTCCCGATTCGAGAGCTGTCATTCCTAAGGAACTGACAGACGTTTTCTCTTTACGGAGCGACTGTTTGGGCGAGAAACTAAAACCAGCCAATTAGAGTAACTTAATAATAGCGCCTGACTTCAAAAAAGCGCTTTTGGTGAATGTGGTGATCGTAGGGGTGAAAAGAACAAGCCCTTCGTTGCGGAGTTATTTATTAGGAAATGCCAACTGAACAGTGACAGACTATTGGACAGATGAGCAATCTCTCATATGCATCTTGTTTACAAAACTGAATATCCATCTTCTCCTTGAACGCGTCTTCCTGAACTTACCTGGACATTTACTGACTATTACTCGATTGCAAGCAAATGATTTTAGAGCGACTCCACAAATTCCGTAATAGATCTCACTTTTCAAGAGACGCGAAGCGGATTTACGAGAGAACATACTACTCGCATGCCCCCCATCAGTGGTATCACCGTTACACGGGTATCATCCTCAGCACCGTTGCAACGGCACTTCTAGCGCTGAATCCTAGAGGTTTGAGTGTAGTCAGCCCTAAGGATCAACAAGTGTGGCTACAGCCGAGGAGAGGTTGTGTACACCAGATATGCGCAGTAGTTCAAGTTGCAGAACAACCGACAACATATAAGTTGATTTTTTGTTGACAGATTCGTTCTTTCATATGCAATCGTGCAGCAACGTTTCCCGCAGACTTGTAAATAGAAAATGTTAAGTACTCGTGAGTGGCTGGTATGTGCAGGGGGCTTTGCCAAAGCAAACCCCGGCGTTCAACTCGCTACTGGCGAAGAACTTAACGAGCTGGAGAGTGCACACTTCACTCTTCTCATCTCCGAGAAGTGTGAAGACAGACTGATCTTGAGTTATCTCATTTTTTTTGAGTGGGTGTGATTTCGTGTTCCGGGACGTGTACACCACTTTCGGCTCAGAAAGAGGCACTTCAGTTTGTCGGGTGCCCTACGTAACTCAACCTTTGTCTCAGCTGAAACGGTTGGATGAGAAATCAGGTCAGTTCATGAATCCCAAAGGTCAGAATCTGCCTGCTAATTTGCGGAGATGTATCCATAGAGGAGAAAGTGGGACGTTCTCTGGTCACCGCTGATATGACCTGGTGTAACGGTGATACTACTGATAGGGAGGCACGTGAGTAGTATGTGTAGTCCGTGGAATTTCGCTCTGCGTCTTTTGGAAAGGGGAGATCTGTTGCGGAATTCGTGAAGTCACTTTGTAACATTTGCTTGGATTTGAGCGAGGGATGAGTGGGGTTAAGAATCTCCAGGAAAGTTCAAGAAGACGCGTTCAGGAGAAGACAGATGTCCAGTTTTTGTAAATGAGATGCAAATTAGAGTTTTGCTTCCCTGTCCAATGGTCTGCAATCGGTCAGTTGGCATTTTCTAATAAATAACTCCGCAATGAAGGCCTTCTTCCTTAATGATCTGATAGTCAAACGTGCTCGGTAATGTGGCGAACAAGCAACTTCAGGACTGAATGCAACATCACTGTTAGGTGATGTTCTGGTCATATTTTATACATGCTCATTAATCGTCTTCCAAGAGGAAACTGCGATTAAAGTGATTGGCTGCACCAGGACAAGGGTTCGAGTTTCCAAACAAGACCGATGTGCCAATCCGCTTATCGCGTAACTACCTACAATTAATGGAAGTTATCCAGCAGGTTGAAACTGTCAGTGGTGCTACCTGAGTCGGAATTTTCCATAGACGAGTCAATCAAGCGATAAAATCAGGACAGCACGAAGGCGTCTTTCAGAATCCTAGACTAACGGATCGCCTGACTTGGGCCTGTCCTTTCAGACGTGATAATTCCATCGCGGCCAGTGTGTGCTGCCAGAGTAGCGTTAATGTAATCGCCGCACATTTCAGATTTCCTGGGTTCAAATCTGGGATTCCGTGACTCCGGGCTCAATCAAGTAAAATGAAAGTCTCGTTTTTGAAAAAAATACACCCATTTTCAAATCATTTTGTTTTTCATGAGGTGGCCTATGTGCGGCACATTCAGTTGTAGAATATCATAAACGAGAGATTCAGTTGAGTCTCTCGTGAAAACGGAAACTCGGGGACTGCGCCTACCTGATGAGCCCGAAGCGGATGAGCGAAACCGGTCGTGGTCTGTCAACGAATTTTCAGCAACCTTTTGAGTAGTTTCCTTTACGAAACAGTCTCGTTTTACCGAACATAATTACTGATTTTTGTTAGTGTTCAACCTTTCTGCATGTTGTTTTTAATTCTCTTGATTGTTCAGCTCCGGATTGGTTTCCCTGTCGTTCACCTAATATTAGTATGCTACACTCCGACCAGTCATCAGCAGAAATGATCGAAACAGATGAACCGTGCTAAACGACCTGCGTCTATCCCTAGCTGTAAACGGTGAAATATCCCGATGAATAGTTGTCACATTTTGAACCGAATTCGGGTGGTGATTGGCTTGTCGCGTTATGTTGTAACGTGTTATTGTCATCGGAAGCCCTGTATCGATTCCTCCCTCTTGTGAAAAATGAGTCTCATCTGGGGTTTACCACTACCTTATGGTCATTCCACGAATGAACACGGTTTCCTTGTTTGACTGCACCCTCATAGTTTGCAGCTTATGAAAGGTAGCCTACTCTCTGCAAATCAGGGTTTTCAGGAACGCATTCTACCCACCTCTCTCCGTTAATCAGACCAGGTAGTCTATCCACGCCTTGAAGGTAATATCCCTCCTGAGCTGACCACAGCTATAATCGGTCGGTAACATACACACCACCCAGCAGTTTGCGCTGTCAGTACGATTAAACATTTTTGATAGGTTGTGTCAGTCTCTTTAGATGGGATGTCTTGTTGCTCCTGTCCTGATTCGCAAGTCAGTTTTACGATTCGGATCAGCCATCGTGGTCATTCGACAAACTATGGTACACGTTGGCAGTGCGGTTTTTCCAGTTAATGAATTCCGAAACTCCGTACTCATGAACTGCAACTCGTTGTGAGTTCAAAGTCCCTTGTCACATAAGCACAACTACTGTCGCCTTGGATGAAGACAGGTAACCTCGGATCCCCTCACACAAGTGCTGCGTTCTTAGACTTTCCAAACCATAGAATCCCTTTTGCGTCATTTCGTCCACCAGAGTGGTCAGATATGATAGAAAATGACCCAAATCGTTAAATATCCCATTTGATTTTGCTTGTGGGGTTGCCACGGGCCCGTTCGTGCTGATTTTCTCTTGGACAGTCGACTGTGAGCAAATTCTCATGTTCGTTCAATAGCCTGCCTGTTGGGATTTTATCTTCTTCAGAACAGCAATCGAAGAACCGCTCCAAATTTATCTTGTGTTGATCCAAGTTGTTGACATATATGTGCAGACTACGCCTGATAGCTTATCAAAGGCTTTAGTGAGTTTCCTCTGGACACCTCGAGGCCGAGTGGCAGATGCAGTCAATAAAAGTACTGAAAGATTGCGCGAAAGGTTGTCGAATAGCTAGACTTTTTATCCATTTGCCAATGTGCTGCTGAACTATCTATGTTTTTGTGGAATTGCACTCTGAGAGCAGTTTATCTAATATGACGACTGGGTAATACTCGTGTCCTATTAACCATGAAATTCATGTTTTGAATCGAGCCCCCGTTTGATTTCTCAGTAAGAAATTCATCTTTACTCCCGGTTATTGCAGAAGATAGTCCACGTGGCCCTGCGCAACGTGGTCAGCTGACCCGCCATCCATCGGACCCACTTCCTGGAGACGTATCAGTAGCAGCTGTTGGTTCCTACTACTCGTCCTCCCATGCTACTGGGCAACTTCCACCAGGACAGTATCCTTCCGGTCGCCAAGACGGATTGGCTCCACCCCATTCCAGAGGACCATTCTCCCAAGGGCGATCTCCACCATCTGCCTACGAGACTGAATTTGGTCCCATGCCATTTGGCGTACCCACCGGCAAGTGGCGAAGTACGTCCGATGTGTTTTCCTTTTCAAATAGCTTTTGAAACGTACATTGGATGTTTCTTCAAACTCCGTGGTTTTGCGAATTGAGGCAAACAAAACCGACGTGGAGGGAAATCCCCTGGAAAGAATACTGCGATATCTCGAAAATTGCGCCAAATGAAACCCATAGCGCGGCACTTTCAATTGAAGACTACCATAAACGAGAGTTTCACGTGAATCTCTCGTTAGTACCAATGCTTTGGCATTCATTATTTGTTATCATACCACTTGAAACATACATAGCTGTAAAATTTTGGCCACGTGATGTGATTTTTCAGAATGATCCTCCGCAGAATAATTTTTATTTTTGAGAGTAAATGGTGTTCTGTGAGCGAATATAACATGTCTGATACAGTTTGCCTGAAAGGTCAAAATATTGTCCTTGTAAGTTTTGGTAATCGGGCATAGTAAACTGAACCAGATTCACATTGAAAAATGGTCCCCCAACGAAAACCTGGCATAAAGATATCTGAATAAAGACCCGTGTATGGATAAATTGCACGGCATGTTCTCAAGTCACCACGAAACGGCAACTTTCTAGGAGAATGCGTGAGCACCTCTTACCGGAACACCATTAGACTCAACAGTTCAGTCAAAATCTCAACTGCGTCCCACTTAATTGACACCGGGCACGTGTTACATTCCGTGTCATTCGTTTCATGCCATTTGCCGTGTGCCCAATAGGCTGTCAGTATCGATCCAACGGTGTGACTTGACCACAGCCTAGGCAGTCGTCATAGCGAAACCCGGCATTGCCCTGCCAAAACCTTTTCGTACGACCGCCGAGTCTGCCTTGGTCACGTGACACGAATCAGCTGACCAAGTCACTCAACGGCCCTCTAGACTGTCTCACAGCATCCAATTGGATGCGACGTAGAAAAGCAGACAACTCACCTTTGGTGTCTGCTCGTTTCCACCACTTCACTAATAAATCTTCGCTGTGTATCCCATTTTTACTCCTATTTGAACCAATATATATGTATCGACCTGATGACGAGATCCCGAATGCAATGTTGGTCACGTTGTTCTTGTTCAAACCACGGGGATATTCGAGCGGCTAAGAAGAAGGGCTTGCATTAACCAGCCAGCAACACGGTGCATATCAAATTCCGGACGTTCCAAAATGGAACAAGAACGACTTGTCTAATCGTAATGTTACCGAGTTGTTCCAGGTCCGGGGAACTTCAAGCTCGCTAAATACATTTTTGCTTGCACCTGGTGTGCGTGACATCAAGCATGTCAACACAAACTGGACGACGGCCGGTGGTTGATTGGGGACACTACTGTTATCAGGTTGTAAAAATCCACAGCACCGTGTCCAGACGTGAGCGACAAATCGGGTATCAAGCCGTACAGAAAGAATGAAATACAACTGTCTTCCTGTCTTACTGAATTTCGGTATTTCGTACGCGCCGACGACACAAGAGTGGCCAAACAGCCAGTTCACTACTGACAAAAGCATGTTCTTATGAGTAGTCAACGTCACTCGTGCTTAAACTGAAGACGAATGATAGCAGAGCCTTCTAAGATGGACTGATTGTTTGTTGAACAGAGCCCACTATTGAGCAACGCACTCAACTAAACGGATCTTCGAAATCTCCGTATGTTCATCAAACGACAGCCTGTGAAATCGGACTTTGGTCTAACATAAAGCAGAAAATAACATATCAAAAGGGTGAAGTGATTAGTTGGTATGAACCCATACCCAAAATTGGCCGGTGAAGAACTTTGTCACAGCGATTTAGCTTCTTGTATACTGAACTTGGTTCAACTGATTATGGTGTGTAGTGTGGGTGAATCCACAATAAGGCTATTAGAAAACGAGTGTTTGGTTGTGAAATAGGTACTTCTGACGAATAATGTGTCCAACAGGCAAAGAAACGGTGGTTAGGCCAAGTGCTGCGCATGTCTGGCGAGCGTTAGCCTAAAACAGAGGGATAGTCAACCTCTGACCTGGCAGAGAAACGTTAAAGATATTGCGAAAAGTTCAGGTGCTTTTAGTTCTATTTGCCATCAGGGATTTGATCCTCGTGATTCCCACTGTGCATGGTTAAAGATGCTGCTAGTCGATGTCAGTGACGTTCTTGTTGTCAGTTTCTATCTAGATTGCCCGCAACCGTTTCTGGAGGTGTGGACCCTAAGTTTCTACTTTTATTCTTTTGGTTGCAATAAGTCTTTCAAATAAATCATGGGTTTATGGCAACGAAGTATCGGTTTTGGACATCGATGTTAAGTCGTTGATGATGATGAGGGTGGTGGCGAGCAGCTAGACTACTGTTTTCAGAAACATTTGTCTTTAATATTCAGGTAACGGTAGAGGCAACGAGAACTTTGTCCGGATGTTCCTGAAGACGTATTGAATTGCTCAGTCACCTTGTTCATCTTCACTCCAAACCTCTTTTCGCTTTGTATCATTCATAGTCAAGACATTCATACCTCAGAATAGAGAACCGATCTTTGAGCTCAAATTAGGTGAGATATCGAGAAATACACTCATTTGTAAAACAATTTGGTTTTCACGGGAGACTCAACTGAATCTCTGGTTTATGATATTCTACAACTGAATGTGCTGCACACAGGCCGCCTCATGTTTCAGTTGGCCCAATAATCGAGATATCGTAGTAAATTTTCATAAAGGAAACTAATCACAAGGTTGCTGTAGACTCTTCGACAGGTTGATGAAAGCTCGGGGACTGCACCTACGTAATGAGCTCCAAGCGGAAGGGCGGTCGTGGTCTGTCCAAGAGTTTTCAGCAACCTTGTGAATAGGTAAGATACCCTTGATTAATTTTTCATTCGTCTGAATTATCCTCCATTCGTTACCTCGTCTTTTGCTCAGCATTCACGTCAATCTACCTGGGAAGTATTGACACGGAGAATCTGACCGGTTCATCAGCTATCCGCAAGGCTGTAGATGTGCTTCTGGAGAATTCTGCTCAGGTAAGTTATGTTACTGTTTCATTTAATACAACTGGAGGTACCATCGCCCAGGTGGCCAGTCCTTCTGCTATGGATGACGCTACTGAAAATGGGTACAGAATTTCCCTCCTGCAAATCACTTTGTTCGATGACCTCGTTTAATATTTTCACCCCATATCGAAACTCCCCCGACTAAAAGAAGGGCCTTCAATAAGGTACTGGGGAATGGTGGCTCTACTCCTCGTCAACAGGAGCTACTTCTGAAGACATTCACGAGGTTAGCGTCAACACGGTCGTTTAGAGAAGTACTATTGAAATATCGGATCTAGTTTTAAAGTTTACTTTGGTTGTGCATAACCGACAGAGACGCTCAATTTTGACTTTCGGACATAACTGTAATGTGTTTTAAGACGTAGTGCGGCGTTCTGGTTTGTCGGTTCCCGGTTTATTTGATCTTGTTTAACTCGAGAACACGTCAGAACAGTGACGTTTCGCATCGTCCGGAGAATGTGTAGCCTTTTGGATACGATCAGCATAGAATAGACATCCTTACAGATCAATGGCCTGACGAACCGATGGACAACGGTTGGTAGGCTTCACCGAAGCCGTTTTGGCTTGCACGTCCAACTACCCAAATCGATTATGACAACTTAGATGGCGAAAAATAGTAAACGGTGTCCGTTTCTACTATATTTTGATAAATTTTGGGTGAACCCAGACCAGTGGGGTGGGTGTGTTTTAGCAGTGCGTTACTGTTGAGGTTTGACCTCTAGCCACTGCGTCAACTATGGTGTGCTGGAAATCCCAGTCGGTAGACTCCATTTATACGTTTGGTGCAGTTTGGTCGGGTGTTGATCCGTTCCACGTGTGACTTGATTCCTGACTGGACTGTACGTCGGCCACCGAAGTCGATTTGAGGGCTTGATTCAAGGCCTGCGGTGCAATGGCTGATTNTTTTTTTAAACTCAGTTGGATTTCTTGTGGGGGAAAACGAGCATGTTGCTTGTGTTCCGTGATTCGCCTGTCTGGCCTGTTTATCTGGCCGTCCTCTAAGCATGGAGTGCGAGTAAGTCAGTGTTGTCAGAACGACGGATCTTCACAGAACATTGATCAGCCATTGTCAACTGGGAGCGTAATTCACAAAGATGTAGTTAACAGAATAGCCAATAAGATACGGGGCGAACAACTCGTCAATGGTATTGCCTGCTGGGGTTGTTGTTGAAAAGTTCCACGGATGGTGTTAGGAGATTTTGGAGTTTTTATTGGAGAAGCCAATCTGAGTTGAAAAGCCAAGAAACAGTTTGTAGCCGTTTCACTCCTATTGAGAACAATCCACGGTGTGTATCGCGAGGAAATTCAGGGAGTTTCGAGCTCGAAAAATGCTGATCAGTAGCTTGAGAACGTAACCCTTTCCTCCGTGACTTACTGATTAGAAGTATAGCGAGTGAACCATACTACTGATGAGTCCATTGTGGTCGAACAGTTTAGTGGTCACGTGCTCGAAACTCCTGACTGGAGTTTCATAAGACGCTCACTGCTTCTCGGCTTCTCAGCAAAGATTGGCCTCACTTAAAGGAAGGAATCCCCATTGAAAGTTTTACATTTGGCCGACAAAAGATACATGCGATGAACTTGTATTTGTTAGTGATTGGGAGAGGAACTTGCAGATTAGATTTTTAGTCTGTTTGACTGTCTCAGCCCGGGCCTAAATGTGACAAACTTGTAAACAAAACATGTTGTCTTCATAAAGGAAACTACTCACAAGGTTGCTGAAAACTCTTCGACAGACCACGACCGGTTTCGCCCTTCCGCTTGGGGCTCATTAGGTAGGCGCAGTCCTCGAGTTTTCGTCAACCTGTCGAACAGTCTTCAGCAACTTTGTGAGTAGTTTCCTGTATGAAAATATACTACGATATCTCGAATATTGGGCCAACTGAAACATGAGGCGGCCTGTGTGCAGCACATTCAGTTGTAGAATATCATAAACAGTGGTCTAAATCTGCAAAAAATACAGCCGAATCAGACCACAGTAGTTGACGGTACAATCACGTCCAGAATGACATAGTCTAGCTGTTGCGATTGGGACTCGCTTTTATAAGGGTAGTCGCCAAGTAGATGATCCTCACACAGGAACTCAAGATGCAATCAGTTGCCACAAACAAGTTGACCAAAATCATTGCAAACCAATGGACTGAAAAACCGATGGACAACGGTTGGTAGACTTCACCGAAGCAGTTTTGGCTTGCACATCCAACTACCCAAATCAAGTAGGACAACTTAGATGACGAAAAATAGTAAACGGTGTCCGTTTCTACTATATTTTGATAAATTTTGGACGAACCCATTTTCTGCACAACAACAACCAGGTGAATCAACAGGGTGCTGACAAGTAGACTGCATGGGCGTGGTGTGAGCTCACTATTATCCTGAATTGATTACTCGCGAACGACTAATTTTGCTTAAGGATCCCGAAAAGTCGTTTATCGGCCTACGAAATACGTCTGAACAACTGAAAAAAAGTATTGATTTTGAATAAATCTAACTCGAAACGACTAGTTCCATAATAGTTGAAATTTTGGAGGTTTGTCTTCTACGAAGATACTGTGGGATCATTATTCCTCTACTGTTGTTTCCCAAGGTTTCTAATGGTGCTCCTAGAAATCTACCCATCGCACCCACTATTGATGTTATTTATTCATCTGTGTCATTTGTAGGTGAAACAAACCGAAGTGACAATCAAAGTAACTCAAGACGGCCTGACGGTGACGGACAACTGGAGAAAGCTTTTCTTCCGTCGCCACTATCCCTTGTTTTCTGTGTCCTACTGTGCGATCGATCCGGCACAGCGGTGGTAAGCGACACATGCAAACTAATCAATTCAAAGTAAACTTGAAATGATTAGTTCGTGAACAATTCTCGCTAAAATAGGAAGAAATATATTTGTCCCAATGTCATTCGCCTTGCTCTTTCAGAGAAAATGAGGAAATGTAGAACTTCTGTTATTGTGATGTGTTTTGCTGTTTCAAGACCCGATACCTCCTCCATCTTGACACAAGTCCGGGTCCATACTTCCCCACACCTTGCTTATTTCCAAAAAGAGAATGCACTTTATAAAAGCCCACAGTAATTTTTTCAATTTGGAGGTCAACTAGAACGACCGAAAAACGATTTTGCGTTGGTTTCTCCTCGACTGAGCAACAACTCCAAGCAGATTGGAAGTATCGGGTTCTTTAGATCATTGCAATCAACAGCTTATGCACCTCACAAAAAACATGCAAGGCAGTTCAGTAAAGTTAGGTTAACTTTTGGTTGATCAGATGCTAGTTGATCTGTTCACCTAGCTTGGCAGTTGGTTTGCAAAATTTCCTCACCAATCGGGGAAACATCATCAGTCCGCAGTCGAGTGGGTGCTTCCTCCGTGCCTAACTGTTAGTTTTTGGAGAGCATCCAGTATGCTGTCATGCAACTGGCTACTTGGTATATACCTTTCTTGTAGTATTATTGGTCCGGTCTAAATTCGTGATGTGTTGTGGTCTGTATGTCTCGTATTCCATTGGTTGGTTAGGCGGCTGTTTCGGGGTGTTTGAGGTCTATTTTCGGTTGGTCCGTTCACGGTTTGTGTTGCGTTGTGGACTTCCCTCCTCACAGTTTTTGGATAAATCAATAAGTCACTTATAATCAGAAGCACAATTGGTTAGGAAGACCGAATGCAGCTGAGTAGCTATTATCCTTATTCTGATCGATGCATGTGAATTTCGAGCAGTAACCAGAGAAATAAGTTGAATGCATTCACGTGGAATGCACGTGAATACGGGGAAGTTTAACCCAAAAGCCAATGAGTAAACTTATTATTGTTGCCAAATAAACTGAATATGAGCCAAACCTGTGTTATCCTGCCACTTTCGACGAATGAACGTTCTGCAACTCACGGGCTGCGAACGAGTTATTACACGCTAGTAGATCAGAGAACGTCTTCACGGAGCGCACTAGTTCTGTCGTCAGAAATCCCCTCCCTACAATATTTATATCAGTAAATCAGTGTACAGCGCTGTGTAAAAGGTATGTATTTCCCTTTTATGGGAAAATCCTTTTCATCGCGCTGTTTGTGTAGGTGAAAGCCATGACCCGTGGCTCAATGGCTTAGCTGGTTGAGCACATGCAGTTTTATATTCTTCATGGTTCACTAGATACTACTTATGTGTAGGTCTGAAGATTGGGTCACGTTATGTACTGAAACCACGTTGGATTGTCACCTAATCTAGTCGTCCAAGTAAAGATGGTACGCTATCAATGGTCAGCATTTTGTTCTCAGGTGTGATCACTGGCAAGCTTTGCTTTTGTCCAACCCATGACTTTAGAGAGTCGCAGTGTAACTTGAGAACAACTCTAGCATCGTCCGGCTGACCTCTCGATGTGTGGTGCTAAAGGGAGTCACGTATGTGAAATTTGGAACCACTGGCCACATCCAATTAAACAGCCCTAACCGCTGATGGCAGTAAAAACTATCCGTCATAAACACCAGACGAAACCGAAATAAGAAGCTATACGGTAGTGGTTTCGGAGATTAGTGTATTCAAAAACCACTTTTTACGAAAAGTAAGGGTCAGAGAATGAGGGTGGAAAGCACCTCGATACAGATAGCCTTTGAATGCTATACAAACACGCGCAGGCAAGGAAGAAGTACCCACCAAACTGCGCACTGATGATGTCTCCTCGTGTGTTGACGAAACGTTTGCAAGCCGATGGCCAAGCTCGGCGAACAGATCAACAGCCATCTGATCAACAACCAATAAACTCACCCGAGCTACCAATATTTCAACAAATTACCATCTCGAACAGAGTGCTTTTTGTTGTTCGAGCCTCTGCAGGTATGTGCATGTATGTGTACAGACCAATTCAGATATATGGTCTATCATGTGCGCATAATCCATTAGGTAGAACACAGCGAGAGATAGGGCGCTTTATTACAATTAACGTAGGGCGGATTTATGTGAACCAACAAACGAAAGAATCGATGTCACGAACGAATCTACCTTACTGGTAGGGTTTATTTTGCCAGGAACTGTTCGGGCCGCTATGAGGTTTTCGCTCCTGGTGAATACGTAGTTCCCATTCGTCCGTCCGCATTCTCACAGAGATGCACTATTTTTTTCAGCTGGGAGTCGCAGGAACTCAGAGCAATGGGCTTCAAAGCATCTAGGTAAGTTGGTTTCTCCTACCAACTGGTTTCCGTCAAGATGTCCTTTTCGGTCTACCACAACGCTGTTTTTATATTTAGGGTAATGAGAGGAATAGGCGTGCTGATATACTGTTAAATTCTTGTCAGACCTACTTAAAATGGGCACAATGCGAGCGGTGGGTGATCCCACATGTCTTGTGTTTGTGCCCCCTTGTTTTTCAGTGTAAATTCAATGTGGGTGATAAGTGGGGGCCTGAGCTTAACTGCGAATCGCTTCTCGCCAAATTACTTACTCGCTGTCACAGTGCAAGCGATAACCCAGCGCAACTAAACCTCAGACCAAGATCGGAATCAACAGACTACCGATTCAGAAAGGTAACCAAACAGATCAGGAGGTAATAACTACTGCCGAAGCGAATAGACACCAACTTCGAGGACGCGAATAACAGCGGACCACGGTGCCCATTATCCGCACAATGTTCTCAGCTGCAAAACCTTTGAAAGTGGAGTGGGACTTTCTACGTCAAAATGTTGCAGTTTGTTGCGTACGCTGGTGTCGCAAATTAGTTGGTCTCAGTCGTTGACGGTCTGTCTTCACTCGCGGACTCTTTTTAAAGTGGCTTAGGTTGTTTTTAGGGCAGAAGGTTTCGAACGTCAATCGCAAGCCGCTTCGGTATCCATTGTGACCTTTTTATATTAAAATTCGGTGATAACTAACGAATTGCAGTGGTCTAACTGGAAGTGGGAGTGTAAATGTGTAAGTAACGCAAGTAAGAACTTCGTTAATAGGTCTGCTTTCAGTGACAGTGGGTCAAATATCTGCTTTGAAATCGCACAACTTCTACAAGAGCCAGCACTTCGTTACTAGTTCTAACAGAAGGCCCCGTGAATTACTAAATCATCGGACTCCATTACATATAGGTTGGGTCATAATCTGTCTGTTTGGAAGTTAACTGGATTGTAATTGAGAAGGATACCTGTGAAGGCGGAATGGATCACGTGACAAGCTAACCAACAAAACAGCTGATCTGGTTCGTTGAGTGCAAAATGTCAGCATCCTTCAATCGCAGGATTCCAGGACCGATCTCTTAAGAACTAGATGGAGAAAGTACTGCATGATCGGTATTTGGGAAGCATCTACACTTGACGCAGCTTTTATCTCTTCTGATTGCATGTGGACCTTGAGCGAATTAACCTCGGGGATGTCTACGCACCAAACTGAAACACTGGCCAAACAGTGTTACGACTAAAACGAAAAAAAGCATAAATCGTTATTCTTAGATCTCTCTAAACCCATCCCATTACAGTCTACATGACTAGTCACAGATCTTTGACGTATTAAATTGAACCTTTTCATACCTATTACCGTGTTTTTTAAAACCCAACGCGATGATTCTGTTTCATAGTCTTGCGTGTTGCTCTCTTCTAATTCATTGCTACGACAGACGAATAGCAGTGACCAGTTGAAACCGGTACTCTTATTTTCGGCGTCGCCAACGGAACTTCTAACCCTGATCTTGCACATTTTTTCCTTGTTCCAGGATTTTCGGATTTGTTGCCAGAAAGCAAAACACTCGAGAAAACATGTGTCACGTGTTTTGTGATACGCCGGACTGTAGCTGCAGTACCATCACGGAATACATAATGTATCGCTTGAACGATTACTGATGTCAAACTGGACTGAGATCCCTTGTGAAGCGTTCCCAGTGATATCCTGCAGATCAATATTGGTCAGATTGCGAATCGACAAATTTCGTTGTCCATCAGAAGGAACTCCAAAGCCCACGGCACAATCATTGTATCTATAATGCTGGATTCTCCACCGTCTTTCGTTTGAATGAATCACCACGATGTGAATACATAAGTTCAGTCTTCCCGATATTTTCTCCATTCGCGAAGCGGAATGGTTCCGCTGGCACCGTTTCCCAGAGAGAAATTAATCGATAATGTTAATAATAGCGCCGGCCCACTACCGTCGCCACACAAAGTGCAAAAATTGCGTAGCCCAGTTAAGTCGCTTTCCAGAAGAAAAAACCTCTTGATCATACATGACAAACAAACCTTAGGACCAACCTATATTTTACCGTTCCGTCTGATTTTTACCACCACAGCTATCAATACTTCCTTGTTTTCTTTGAACTATGCATACCTCGATCTTCGACAGTATTTGTGCAATCAACGAATTCCCTATAGCGATACACACGAACGCACTCGCTCACAAATGCACTTTCTCATCCTTGAAAGAGTCGGTTTTTTACAGACTATGTACAGCTTCCTGGTGTACGGTGGACCAAACAGTACAATTGAACAGAATCTGTTATCATCTCCTATCCGTTTGGATCACGTTAAATTTGGTGTTCACACGGATAACTTTCGACAGAGAGAGAGAGCCCTGATCGTTCGAATAAATCTCATAACTTGAGAAACCTTCAGTTATACTCTGGCCCAATTCTTATTTTCCCACAAAAAGTAGGTGTCACAGACAGTGAATGTACCTTGAATATCCTGTGATAAATTGGACATTCTCTATGACCAGTCCTTGTTGTATTGATTTACTGCGAAGCAGATTAGTTCAGCATCGTCAATAACGAGAACAACGGGACCCCCTGACCGTATTTATGCCGAACGTATCCGGCCACTGTGAAAACCGCGATCGATTGGAATCGATCTATGTTGACCAGTGTTTGTATCCCGGGACCTGACTCGTATTCATTTTGCACACCTATTTCCGATCATCAACAGAGACGCGTCTTCTATGCCTTGGAATTGCAGACGTTGTGATTGATATTTCCCTTTGGTCCCGAGTGTACCTCATTCGCAACTCATTTGCTCTGGTTTCTCGATGGAAGATCTTCTTTCTTCCCCAGTGTCGATCTGTTCACTTGCAAACAACCAGCAATATTTTTTCAGTCTGGCTGTTCGCCTCAACCACTTTCGCATGTGCATGCTTTAATCGGATGGGGTCAAACGGAATGTGACCACCGGACGGAGACGTTCAAGGACAATCAATATATACTCCGGCTTTTAAATGCTCGCGTCCGATCCTGTGCTTATGCCTCAAGACAAAGCTGGTGCCGGTAGCTTAGGTATACGCACAAATTTATACTTCCAATCTCTAGTAACTCTTCAAATTATCGATTTTTGTGTTAATATCATGTGCATCTATATGCAGCCGCATACATGATATATACATATTCACTATTCCACTTGATCTTATAAGAATAAAGCGGTTTTTTCAATTGAGTTCACGTATGAGTGTGCCAGGGCATGGGTTGGAAAACGGCCTTTGGGAGGTTTGGTGGAGACTGAGTAAGGGGAATGATACTGGTTTTACATGTTTTTATTGGGTGAGTAACAACCGATGCAGATCAGACCTCTGAGTGGATTTTTCTTTGAGAGCTCAGGAAGCTGCTTCATTTTAGCTACAAAGCACAGTGAACGATGGGTCAACTGTGCCCAGTTTGAGGCCCTTTGAAGCGTGCTGGTCACTCAGATTGACTCAGTAGAATTGTATTTTATACACGATCAGGACTTCTTCGGCGCAAAACCATACGACGCGCGCATTTAAGTTGGGTGTGCGCAAAACCCAGGGAATTCCCACCCCGAAAGTTCACAAACTTACAAGGAGACCCAATACAGAGGGTGTTTTAAGGTGACAGCTGGTTAGATGACCCGCAAAGTCTAGCCACGTGAAACTGTCGTTGTAGGGAATGTAAAGCGCCTTAAGTGGGGTTTGTGGAAAACCTTCCGGAAGTGCAGTCCCACACTCAAAAAAGCCAGTATTCTCATCCTTGCTAAATAAAAACACACAAGAGCATTGGTCTCCGTAATAACCATAAGCCGACACGAACGTGGAAATGAGAAACAGAAACTTTGGAGGATAAAAGCTTGGACAAAAGTCGTTGTATGAGGAGATTACTCTTATTTGGAGCTGCGATTACTTGAAAAAAGTGAACGTCAGTAACATCCATGCTAAACAACAACTGCCGATCACTAAGGCCTTGAAAGCAGATAAGTATAGTCTATTTGCCTATCGCAGTGATGTGCCAAAAGTTTTCCGGTTCAAGGTTACTGACAATGAATGAAAGGTCAAACGCGAAAAACAAGGGAAGGTTGTTGACATCATCATATGGTCTATTTGCCTATCGCAGTAATGTGCCAAAAGTTTCCCAGTTCAAGGTTTCTTACATTGAAGGAAAGGTCAAACGCGGAAAACAAGGGAAGGTTGTTGACATCATCATCATAACCATCATCATCATCATCATCATCATCATCATCAATCATCTTATTCGACCGAACAAACTGCGTCATTGTTTAACAGTGGTTATGGCTGTGACAGTTTTGTCTACCGATCACATGAGGCTGTGGGAGTGGAGAGCTATGTACTGCAGGCAGTAGTGGCCTGAATGAGGGGGCGTGTTAGTGGGGTGCGGCTTACAAGCGAAGCATTCTAAGAAACTCGTACCACGTGGGTGTCTGGCTAACAGGACGCAAGTAATCTCTGCTTCAGAAGGAATCTAGTGCCAAAGGCACAAATATTGCAAAGTTTCCCCCATCAGAAGGTTGCTAAAGAGGCAAACTAAGCAAACCAAACTCGATTGGGGACGAAACGCTTGCCAACTGACTCCGAGGCTCGGCGAACAGACCGATGAAGAAACCAAAACAGTCACTTCCGGTGTAAATACTCCAAAGTGACCTCTCAGCTAGAGGTCAAAATTTCTTGGTAAGAGGGGGCAAACAAATTAACTGTGATTTGCAAAATGCGACGGTATACTTACACAGCATACACAGTAGCGAGATACACTCATTTGCCAACAAATATGGTTCTGCGGAACACTCGTCTGGAACCCAGCTGAATCACTCGTTTATGACGTTTTCAAGCAAATGAATGTGCTGCACCAGGCAGCCTCATACTTCAGTGGGTACGATATTTGAGATATTGCGACAGAAGCAATACGGTACTCATAAGGTTATATTGCGACGAAGCAATACGGTACGCATACGGTTGCTGAAAATTCTTCAACAGCCCAACAAACCGAATAGATCCGCAAATGAGTGTATTTCTCGAAAACCGTCCAATTTGGGTTCAAGTAGAACATAAGGTTGACGTGAACTCAGGGACTGCGCCTACCTGATGAGCCCGAAGCGGAAGGGCGAAACCGGTTGTGGGCTGTCGAAAAATTTTCAGCAGGCTTATGAGTAGAGATTACACAATACTTAGGAGGAAGTACTCTTCCAGAGTACTATGCGAATTCTTACCACTTCTAGGGTTTCAAGAAGACTACTGCTTGAGTTTCAGAGATGCTTTTGAAGCTTTTAGAGGGACGGTCAGGCTCCGTCTACATCTTAACTCCATAGGTCTTTGGAATCGGTCATACTAAAGGTCGGATTAAGAGTCCTAGTAACTTTAATGATATCAAGTAAAAAAAACTAGTGGGAGCTGCAAGATGTTGCCAACAGAGTTGAAGTAAACCAATCAGAAGCCAACCCCGGAAGATGTTAGCAGTAACAGATGGCCCTACGGCGAAACTTGTATATTTCCCATGGAAAAGTCAACCGAAAAGGGATAGCATCTTGATGGGGAAATAGCGACAGTTATTGAATCACAGGGGACAACAACATCCCCTCCACCCTGAATCATCCAGCCTGTTGAACCTTCTGACCGGAGCTTCTGAGTCGGTGGGCCAGCAGAAAGCCGAAGACGATTCCCAGAAGTTGCAACGTACCGCAGCTGAGGACAGTGATAATGACGATACTGCTGTTTCCTCGAATCCACGACGTGATGGCTACAAGACATCCCTGGAAAAAACAGTGATATTAAACAGCACTTGATGTAGGTGGATATTGGAACGGATGGGCGGGTATGCCAGTGGTACCCTGAGCTAAGTTTAAGCTTCTTATAGATTACCGCACTGAACGGGTTGATGCAATCACAGAAAGTGACATTAGACATTAAGACTCAAACCAACAAGATGTTTATGAAGTGCAAAAACTCTCGGGAATAAATTACTGTTTTTTATCATGGTCGTACTAAATTTGATGAGGGGTTTAAACTAATACTTGACCACGAACGAGTCCCAAATTGGCTTGGAAAATAAATTTAGTTCTAAGGAGAACTGGTTTATAAAATCAAACGGATACTGGTGAAAGGTAGAAGGCCTTCGCTGCGGAGTTAGTTATTAGGAAATGCCAACTGACCGGTTACATACCATGGGACAGAGAAGCAAAACTCTAATTTGCATCTTACTTACAAAAACTGGACATCCATCTTCTCCTGAACGCGTCTTCTTAAACTTCCCTGGAGATTCATTTACTCCAAGCATTCCTCGCTTAAATCCAAGCAAATGTTACAAAGCGACCTCACGAATTCCGCAACAGATCTCACCTTTTCAAAATACGCAAAGCGAAATTCCACGAACAACACATACTACTCGCGTGCCTTCCCATCAGTAGCACACCGTTACACTGGTATATGAAGCATACACAGAAGAGCAAAGCAGAGATGTTTGACAGTCACCACATTCCTTTACCGACTGTACGTTACAGGTTCTGGGAAAACACTGCAAGGCCCCGTACCACCCAAATTTTAGTGAATGCGTGATGAGCATAATTCGATTCCTCAGGATAAGTGTTTGAACGATCTTTGAACCTTTGCTGCTCTTTCCTCCCTTCCCTACCCCTAGAGTCAAACATCCAGTCCTGGAAGGTAGAAAAAAGTTACACGCGGTTGATTTCAGCAGCTTTAGTGGTCTACAGTTTCGTGGAATCTTCTTGCGATACGGTGAAGAGTGAAGTAGCTCGGACGAGGTCGTACAGATTTTTGAAAAGCAGTACATTGGAAAGTGATGCACGGATATGATGGAGAATGACTCTGAACAGACGAAACACGTATCATCATCAACATCATTGTTAGCTGTAATAACCGCGTACTCGTCGTACACTGGTTGTAGCTGCTTCACCGATGATTCGAGGAGGTGGGTTAGGTAGCTGCACATTGGAGGCGGGAGCGGTTAACTTAGTACGTAAATACAGCACTGTAGGTGGACTGCTAATTGGGGTGGGGGTTGGGAAGCGAGCTATGCATTGAAGGCAATAGTTTGGATGCATGAGCGCCATTGAGAGTGCGATCTGAAGTGTACACTTACTCTTGTTTGAACTCCCGGAGGAACTGACCCGTTCGGTAGGTCTTCGTACTGGCGGACACAATGTTCCGGGTCTGAACAACAGCTTTCAGGTACCACTGTGCTTCCAAGTACGTGCTGCCAGTCCCGATAGCCGGTAACTCCGCAACAGTTGAACTGCGAGAAGTGTGGAGATGGATAGTTGAGAGCGGTTAACAAATAAATGAAGACTTCTTCGTTATGCCAAAGGAAAACAAGTAACATTGCATAGTACGGCGTTTTCAAACGGAGGTCCTCATTTAGGAACAAGTAAAAATCCGTGTAAAAAATTTGTGACCGTGAAACAAACCAGGATGATCTTTGTCTCCATCATTCAACCGATACGGCTGCTTTAGAAGTACGAATCCTCATTGAACTCGTCTGGCTACGACGGTGCCAATAGTTTCGGACTCATCGACTGGGTAATAGTTTGAGACCAGACCACACCCCATTTTTCTTTCGTTTGTATTTTCACAAAACACTCTTATCAACTGAGTCAAGGGAGCGTTGGTATCGAATTCCACCAATACCCTCGACGATTACGGGAAGGAGAGGAAAGATGAGCACTCGAAATTCGTTTTAATTATCTTACTGACACGACTTATTTTGACATCCTGTTGCTTGCACTCATCGCGTGTAGATGGGCGAAGAGTATTACGCATAATTTCCCACCTCGAACAGTTGATCTTAACAGAGGTTGCTGTCTCCAGGCGCATGCGTAGTCACCTACCACTGAACGGGTGGCTAATTTGCAACAGACGTTGATAAACCATCTATCCTCTGTCCTGGAAACGAATTCTGAGTTCGTGAGATTGACCAATGAATATTACTTATGCAGTTCACCTAACAGGTCAGATGGCCTACGCTACGCCAATGCTCACCACTCAGTACGTCCGCTCTGCCATCCGACCAGAAAAACAGTGACCAGAAGTTATCGTAGTCAGAGCGAATGAGTGAAAAGTTATTCACAAAATTTCATTTCCATTTTTGAATCGGAAAATCGATATCGATTAGCAGCTACCCGGATAAACAAACTTTCATGTTCAAAGCACAGTCGGAACTGTTCTCCAAGTCCCCGAACAAATGGGGGTTAAACTTTGAGTCGGCATCACGTAGACAACCAGCTGGTCAGAAAGTCTTGTCGTGGCTTTTCGATCAATGAGGCTATCGTTTTTCGTTTTTCGAGTAACAAACTAACAAAACACAGTGATTATTTTAATATCAATATTATTACCAATACGAACAATATCACCCTTATTTTTCGATGCGAATGAGTCAAAGTTGTTGCAACTTGGTGTCGCCTCTAGTCAAAGGACTGGATGGCTAATCAATTGAAAAAAGTTTGGGAAGTCATCGTTTCAGAGAGGTTTGGCCCAGGAATAAATACGCCGATTGTTAACCAAACCTCTCTGAAACGAAAAAGACTGGATGACCAATTCACCATAGTCATTTGAATGCAAGTGAAGAGTTTTCAGCAACCTTGTGAGTAGTTTCCTTCAAGTGAACCGTGTTCATTTGAACTTTTGCGAGGACAAGGAACACTGAATGCCAGTGAAAAAGACCTTGTCCCACTTGTCACCTTTTATTGGTTTTCCGGTTTCATCACCTGCTGGAACTGACTGCATGAAACTCAAAAAGATGATAAGGTTTTTACAAAAGAAGTTATAAAATCTTGTTAGACAAGTATAATTCTTCGAGCAGAACAAGCTTCTGGACAAGTCAGGTGTGTCGGGTGACGCGTACCGTCTGCCCAACTTCAAAGAGCAAACTAGTTTGTTTGCAAGGAATGAGGATTTCCATACATTTCTTTCGTCGTCGGCGTTCACATCACTCTGATTTGAACAGTTGTCCTCCTGTCTCGGGATAACGATTCTGGTGAGTCTATTTCAGGAGGGTGCGGGAACACTGGACCAGAGTCTCCCTTCAGGAGTCTATATCCCAGGCTGTGTTGAAGTCTAAACTCAGAACATCTGGTGAACAAGGTGAACGCGTTACCACTACTCCGTCTTCAAATTTGAAAAAGCGATGTGATTGGAGCTGTCGATCAACTGAACTGCCTAGATAGACTTTCTTCAACTAAGGATAGTAAATTCACAGAAACGACAAGTTTTTCATCATTGGAATGCAAACGAGTGTTCTCAATATTTTGGCTGGGCACGAACTGTGAAAATTCTGAGGAACTCTTCTCTTGAGGAAGAGAACAAGCTATGCGTAAATGAGCAAGCGTATAACTTGGTCCGACTTCAAAGGGTTCACCATTAGGTGCTTTTTCCAACGACCATGATCTAACGTGTCAATGAGACCTGTCATATAAAGCAAAGAATTTTCGATGGCAGGATTTAGCCTACTCGGCGAGATGGCCCAAGTGCTTAGAACGCGAATTTACTGACCGGAAGGTCCGTGGTTCGAACTCGACCTTTGCCTCTCGACCTCCCTTGTCTAGGCTTGGGCGACCCGGCAGTATCCCTCGTGCTTCCTTCGGGTAGCATGGCAGCTAGGCACCGGAAGTTGTGCTACAGCTTAACAAAAAATTTAGCTTGCTCATTTTTTCCGTGTGACGCAGCGAGCCACCGAGCCATCCACACTAACTAATCACCGTTTATAATCCACAATAAGTTGGTGCTTCAACTGACCTTTGTGTCAGTAGCTTCTGAGTGCAGTCTTGTGTAGTTCGAGTACGGAACCTCAGGGAATGCACCTTCGCAATGAGACTTAGCAAAGCCGGTTGTGGACCGCCAAAGATTTTTCAGCAAACTGATGAGTATTATTCCTCCAAGTTGTTTTCCTGTTATGCGTACACTGCCAGCGTCCCTTCGGAAATAAAATTACCATCTTAGCAGAAGGACGTAAATGGAGTTTTATTTAAAATTATGAAATCATCAGAATGAGAGCAACCAACTAAAGTTATTTCATGCTATTAAGTTGAGATTATCTTCGCTCTTGTGGCCAAACGTTGCTGTTACAGAAAAACAGGTGAAAAATATGAACTCGGTCATTTCCCAAAATTCACTACTAGTAAATAGAATCCCAGTTTCATAAAAATCAAAGGACGTATGTTCTCTGGGCTTAATAAAATGTAAAATCAATGTTCCAGATGTAATTCAAAATCAGTATTTAATAAGCTGGGAATAAAAAAACTGGGGAAACATTGCACCGGGCAGATGTAGCCTTACTAGTGAGGAACCCTTCTCTTCTGAAGAAAGACGAGACTAGATGTAACATACTACTTGTAAGGTTGCTGAAAACACTACGACAGTCCACGACCGGTTTTTCCCTCTTTGGTGCTCATCCGGATGGCGCACTCTCCTAGTTTCCATCAACCTTATGATCTACTTGAACGCAAGTTGGACAGATTTCGACAAATTTATACACGAATTTGGTTTTAAGTAGGATACCCAACCGGATCCAGCTAAATCTCTTGTTCATGATGGCCCACCTCAACTGATGCGGTGCACTCGGTTGAAGCGGACCAGCATAGGCGAGATATTCATCTGAATTCAGCTTAGTTGTCGATAAAATCCCACTCGTGTGCAAATGAGAGAGTATCTACCGGAAGAAGGGACCATTTTACATGGGGAACGAGCAAGTGGGCAAGTTGTACCCAATCCTACATATAACTTGGCACAAAATGATTAAAAATCAGTCTCGCTTATCAGCTATAACCACATACATAAAGGGTTCTCGGGTTCCGGCTGACACAACTTCGTTCACCGGAAAAAAAGGGGACAGCTTTGAAAGTACCGCCAGGCACTGGAGGCGATGACGATTGGAAAACTGGGCAGATATGGCGATGAAGGTGAGAGCTTTGATGCGCGAGTGCCACTGACTATGTGACTGAGATATGTCTGCTAGTGTCACTAACGACCGGTGAGTTGAGTTTCGGGTCCCCATGCACGGAGGTGGCTGGGGACCCTAACACTTCGTTGCCAGGTCATACACTGTCCGCGTCTCAGTCACTTTTACTCCTAACACCTGGACTAAAACACACCTGCGATTGAAACCAAGTGGTCAGTTCTAAACTGATTCAGAATTTGGTCAATGGTTAAACGGTTCAGGTGTACCAGGTGCACTCGCTCCAAAGACCAACACCCAAGAATTACTCTTACGACAAGGTAAAGACGTAACAGATTTGCTGTTCTTAAANACGGAGATAACTGGTGCCCCTGAATTTTCGTTGCCAGGTCATACACAGTCCACGTCTCGGATCATCCCTGGACCAAAATTTACCTGCGATTGAAACCAAGTGGTCAGTTCTAAACTGATTCAGAATTTGGTCAATGGTTAAACGGTTCAGGTGTACCAGGTGCACTCGCTCCAAAGACCAACACCCAAGAATTACTCTTACGACAAGGTAAAGACGTAACAGATTTGCTGTTCTTAAATCGTTCAAATCAGCCATGAAGATTCGGTGCCAAGGTGCAGAAACTCAGCTCAATAAAAAAGCATCATTCGCGCGTCACCACGGTCAATGGACTTACCTTTCTTTGCACATAATCCACTCCAAATCGGGTCTCGTTCGTTCTCATATATTGTGCCATGATTTGAACTATTCCAACTTCTGCTTTGTGTTCCACCTGAAAAGCAGCAACCCACGAATGGAAAAAATTGTCATCATCTGAGATGTCATCCCATCAACCAAAATATTAGGATATCTTCAAAAACGAAATCAGTAGTTTGCTCTGCCATGTATGCTTGTGTAGACAATACACCGAATAATGTAATGTAGCATGCATGCACTTTGGAGCTTACTTCATCCTGCTCCGTGAAGGCTGCACAACCAAGAGCGATTTCACCAAGCAAGAGAAGCAGCAAGATGCCCGAATACTGTGGAAAAACAAATGCAAATGTCTCGCTGCGTCGTTAGAAATCACAAGAAAATAGCACCGATGATTTCGTTGGTGTTACTTCAGACTCAACTTTAATTGTCATGACAAACAAAACTGCAAGCAGCTGGTGATTTTCACACTCGCCGTATCAAGCGATATTAAAGTAGAGTGTACGTCGCATTTAACCAGGGCTGCTCATGGTACTAAAAAAGGTTATTGTCCCTTGGTGTGTGGTTTACAGGGTGTCTCATAATAAACGCAAAATTTAATTGGGTAAGTAAACGTAGTTAATTAAAGAAAGGATAACTAACGGACTTTTCTACTATTAGTAGCCACATAAAGAAGATTTTATATACAAGGTTACGCGATCTCACATCTTTGGATCATTGGTTTTGGAAATAATCAAGGCTCGCGTGTATCATGAAAATAAACCGAGGAATTTGGTGGAGTTAAGAGCAAGAATTGAAGAGTAGTGTGCACGATTGACGTTCGAAGAAGTTAAACATGCTGTCTCACATCTCATACCGCCTCCAACTTGTTACAGAAGAAAGAGGCAGTTTTTTAACCATTTTTTGTAATGCCAGTTTGTTTGCAGTAAACCTTCATAATGCGCGTAATTTTTCATGAAAAATAATAAATGTTCAAATAAGTGTTAAAAGTTTAACTTGGTATTATTGTTCGCGTCTATTATGAGACAGGCTGTATAAGAAGAGAGTATTATCCTGACGATCATGAAGTAATCACCGAACACCACAATAGTTTGTTTGTTGTCTACTCACAACCAAGTGAGTAGCATTCAAATCGACCGATTACGAACCCGTGCTCATGTTAAAAGAAATCGTTCAGATGCCTAACTGACATACCACCAGAAGGAAGCATGACGGCGGGAAGACTGTCAAGTTGTCCGGGCCAAGAGGCAGGTGTTGTGTTCGAACCACAAACCTTCCGGCCAGTAAATACGCACTCTAAGCACTGCGCCATCTTGCCCGTGCGAAACACGGCGACAAATCCCAATATGTCATAATTTCAAAGTTCTATGATTACAAGTTTTTTTCGGCAACTATTCTTAGGCACTTTCAATACGGGCTGACCCGGACGCAGTAAGCCTTTGCATTGAGCTTGTCCGGTTTTCGAACCGAAGAATGATGTATACCACAATCTGTGTCACGTATGTCCTCTTATTGGGGGGCGAGATGGCCCAAGTGGTTAGAGCGCGAATTTACTGACCGGAAGGTCCGTGGTTCGAATCCGACCTCCGCCACTCGACTTCCCCTGTCTAGGCTTGGGCAACCTGGCAGTATCCCAGCCCTCGTGCTTCCTTCGGGTGGCATGGCAGCTAGGCACCGGAAGGGTGCTACAGCTGACACGCTGAACGCTATGTCCTCTTGGCCAGTGAAACTGGTAATCCACGCCCAAGTTTTGGCCGAACAAACTGATACCCTTTCCTTGATACGTTTGTGTGCCAAGAGAGTCGAGTTGCGTGTGCCATCATTTGCTCGTCCTTGGGGCCAATACAATCCCAAAGAAGTGAAATAATATTGTAAGTTTCAACTTTTAGGCGCAATAAGACTCAGCCTTGGGGGCTACTTCCATAGCTTGATCAAATGGCTACGATTGCTCACATAATTTGCACAGTGTATCCACTGTTCAAGCTCATTCACTCTGCCGTCTGCTCAAATCGCGCAACTTTCAGTGCAGCTGTACCTCTCCTTATCCTCGTTGCGTTCATTTCATTCATAGATTCTCTGCCTCCTTCCACTTTAGTTTCATGGCTGTTTTTGGGCTAAACTATTCAGTCCAGAAGACCGCTTCGTACACGGATTCTATTACCTTAGTAAGTACTATCTTCCAGTAGGCGACAGGCCATTACAAACCCGTACTTGTTTCCTGCGGTCGAGTTCTCTTTTTTCAGTGACCTTGAGTAGGAAATCTAGGGTTTGGTTGGACTGAGTTGGGAAATTTACTAAACACTGTCCCTGGCTTTAATGAGAGGAAACTCTCATGTGAACACTACATTTGTATGCAACTAATTATCATCGAATACGTATCTCGCTCTATCATATTAGGGCGGAAAGATCCACGGGTAAACACCTTGGAACCGCAGTAATACATTGATTGGTTACGATTTGTGGGGATAGCTAGCCTTGAAAAATGCAAACAGCCTCCAAGTAGATTTAAGTAATACGTGTGGTGGTGCGTTGATGGGATAGGCTTGACTAGGATTCGTGTTGCTCCGTTGGCTGATTGCGTTTCTCAAGGTGATTATTCACGTAAATGAAGAAATCAAACTGGGTTGAACAGAGTGTGAGAGAGAAGACAACGTATTGGACCATATTCCGCGACGCCAGCCTACATCCAGGAGAGGAGTTTTCGCACAATTCTAAACCGCCGAAACTATTCGGACGATTTGACCTCCACCACAAAAATAGGATAATTACCTGAATATGATGACTAAATTCGTCTCTAAATTTCGTGAATTAGCCATAAAAATAAGCTGGGAGAGATGTTTTTCCACAAAAGTTTCAGCCTGGTGGTTCTCGTCAGAAGTACTTTTTTCGCCTTCGAAGCTAACCGATTTGATGTTCACAATAGGCTACCCAAAAGTGTATGAGAGTTTAACGTGCTAAAAAGTCGACACATCTATTGGTTGTAATCATAAATACTCTTCCATTGCAATCGATCGTCTTGTATGTTCGAAGATCACGTGAAAACCTTTGGAGAAGGCACATACGAAGGACTCAAAATTCATTGGCGAAGAGGATTAGCCCGTCAAGTGGCAAAATATCTGTCGAACCACCCGTGGTGTATTGATCGGCACTTGACAGACAAATCCGAATTGGAGATAAGTCCGGGACTGTCGTAGAGGTTGACTGATGATTTAGCTTCAGTTTCCAGTCAAGGACGTTGCTGTTCTGTTCTGTTAGACTCCTCTGTTGTTGCTGATTGTTCCCGACCATGATACAGGATAATCAAATTATGACCTCATCGGAGATAACGGGGCAATTTTTCAATTTGTTATCATTATCACGTTCAGCTTGCTCTCAATTCATAAAAAAAACTAGTAGCATAGGTTTTCCTAAAAGAAAAAGAAGCGCTGAAAGCGCTTCGACAGCCCACGACCGGTTTCGCCCTTCCGCTTGGGGCTCATCAGGTGGGCGCAGTTTCCGAGTTTCCGTCGACCTTATGTTCTGCCTGAACCCAAATTCGACTGCTCTCGAGCAATATACACATTTGCAAACCAATTTGGTTTTCACGAGAGAACAGTTCAGCTGGGGTTCAAGTAGAACATAAGGTTGACGGAAACCCGGGGACTGCGCCTACCTGATGAGCCCCAAAAAGGGAAAAACCGGTCGTGTGCAGCACAAACGTTTCCAGCAATTTTGTGGGTAGTTTAATTTATGAAAATATACCGCGATATAACGTGCCAACTGAAACATGAGACGGCCTGTGTGCAGCACTTTCAGTTGTAGAACATCATAAACGAGAGATTCAGTTGAGTCTCTCGTGAAAACCCAATCGATTTGCAAATGAGTATGTTCCTCGAGATAGTAGCATGGGTCTTCAGTTTTAATCTGCAACTCTCTTTTGGAAAACCTACACGCTACTAAAGTGTGAATTTCTCTGTCAGACCCCCAAAGGCGCCAGAAAAATAAACTTTAGACGGTTTGTATGAAGGAAACTACTCACAAGGTTGCCGAAAACTCTTCGACGGACGGTTTGATAGCGAATAATACTACCAGTTGAACACTAGCCTACGAATTGTGATCCGCCCACAAACTTCACAAGGCCAAACACTTAAAATGCTCTCCGAAACCCTCTTGTTTCTCAATAGTTTCTAAATCTCTTTTCAGAATATGATGGGATTTATCAATGTTCTGAGTCTTAGAACTCTCATTTTTATGTAACCGTGGTGCACCGACATTACGAACAGGTACAGGTTGTCTGTTCTTGTCACTGTGGTGGACGGATGAGGAATATGAACTGTGTCGTCAAAAACTTGGGAAGTAAGTTGCTCAGTCGGGTGTTATACTCCTGTTGTCTTACAACTTTCAAATGGTTACCCACTCAACTATCGATCAAGCCAGTTTACTTTGAGATTGGTCTGTTGACCTCGTGGAATGCTGTAGTGACAGTGACTTTATTCGGTTGCTGTTTCACCATTGTCAACTTGTGAATTCTGGGCTAACGTCATGGAAAGTCCGCATCTTGCTTTTCCATATGAAAAATGATTCAATGATTGCTTCATAGAAGTCTTTTTTAGCTAAGATGGTATCAGCGGGAGGTGAACACTAATCAAATCCTTCACCTAAATGCACAACGCCTAGGTGGGGCCAGAATTTATGGGGTTGAATTTCAAGATGTTGAGTTGTTTCTCCTCAATAAACTGTACTACTCAGAAAATTAGTGGAACCACGGCAAAATCGAGGAAGGGCTGTCGACAATTGTTCTATGATTTGTTAAAGCCTAAAAAACCCACCCCCCGTGTATCTCATTACTTGTGATCACAAGACACTTTCAACTCCACACAAGGGATAAAAACCAATAATTTCAGCCGAAAAAGAACAAGTTCAAAAGGGGAATTTGAAATTCAGTCACAATCACTGGGCGATTTATCATTTTTCTGTGTTTATCAAGAGAAAATATTGTTCCTACTCTCTGGTTAACCAACAAAATGTCCGGAACGTTGACTATTGATTTCGCCCTGTGAGTAACGTCAGTCTGCACGGGATAGCTGAGATACTCTGTACAGCTGTTTCATCCTCTTTGCGAATCATCAGCGGTGAGCACCTCACGAAAATCCAGGAAATCGGGAATAAGCGGCTACGGATTAAAACTTTTACTCAGGGTTTCTGCAATTCATTTTTTCATTTCAAACAGTCTACGACTGATCAAACAGCCCACTGACAGTGCTGGATTTATGCACCAACTTATCAGCTCCCGCCTGCAATGCGCAGCTACCTACGCCGCCCCCAAATTATCGGTGAACGAAACTGCGGCAGCTACAACCACTGTAGGACGAGTACGCGGTTATTACAGCTATGATGATGATGATGATGATCAAACAGCAAAATCGTATCCCCGGGTTTTTTGGCATCAGAAGATGATGATGTGATCAAACAGCAAAATCGTATCCCCGGGTTTTTTGGCATCAGAAACGGTTTGCGCTAGTTGATGCCAATGATCCTTCACACATGTGCATCAAATGTAGTGTGGCTTTTTGGACGCCGGTTTGACATCCCAACAAGTTGCTGGCAGTCATCCACGATTATGTGGATATTAATTCTACACACTTATTGTTCCAGCAAGTTGGTCGTCCTTGGGAGAAAGTGCACCACCAAAAGCGTTGTTAGTTTTCCCGTGGGACACTTTTCCAGGAGCGTTAGAAAACCGCATAACCTGGATGCCCTGGTGTAGTAGTTAGGGTCTGATGTTATTATCCGAAAGAGATTACGCTGTAATTTTACTTTCTTCCTTTCCCGTGGCTACCGCTATATCCGCCTTGTCGTGGCAGTGAGCTGAAAATCGCATATTAACGTTCCGTTTTACCATCGTCTGCCGAATTATCGAGAAGTATCTGTTCAGGTAGCATTTTTATCGAAATACATCAAGGGCTGCTATGCTCTGGTGGTTCTGCTGTAATCCAGTTGTCGTGCTCTTCGAAGAGAGCGGTATCGAATGCATTTGTTCAGCCGATGAGATTGCTGAAAACTCTTCGATAGCCCACGAACAATTTCCCCCTTCTTGGGGCTTGTCGGGTGAGTTCAGTAACCCAGTTTCAATCGAACTTTGTCCCACTTGAAATTCTCGAAATAAACTCATTCAAACGTTGATTTGAACCCCAGCTAAATCTCTCTCGTTCAAGATGATCGCTTTCATAAGCGAGAAATTCAGTTGGATTCATTTGAGTCGCCCGTCCAAACCAAATTAGTGTGCAAACGAGAGTAGCTGGCGAATCCTCTCCAGTTAGAAAGCAAGTTTCACGGAGACTCAAGGACTCCGCCCATCTTATGTGCCTCAAAAAAGGGAAAACCGGTTGCAAGCTGTCAAAGGGTTTTCAGTAAACTTATGAGCAGCGTGCTTGCTCTGGACAACAATGTATTGCGATATCTCGGAAACCGTACGAAATGAAACATGAGGCTGTCTTATGCACTTCATTGATGTGATGAAGATCTTAAACGAGAGGTTCAGGTGAACTCGGCATATTCTTTCGTCAAAGCCAGATTGAAGTGCAAATGAAGGTTGTCACCTATCGACGTCAATTTGACAAACCCTCAGGTACACGCGCGGTGCTGGAAATTCCTCCACCACCCCATTCAGCGAGGGACACCGCGGCTGCTACTTGTTCCCCTAGCAATAGCGAAAAACACAGTTAACGCGAAAATTGCGGATAGTTCCCTGCCAATCCAAGGTCAAACGGATCCTTCCAGAATGTCATCAGTGCTGTACATGCTTTCCAAACCATTGTTGGGATACTTCCCCTGGCGCTGGAAAATATACGTTTAGGGCCTCTTCAAACGACGCACTTCCCTTGTGCGGTCCCTCTTGATGGATCCCCACGGTTTTCGGTTACCAATGCTATTCATGAGTCCGCAATGAACTGAAGGGTCAAGAGACACTTGGAACAATCAAAACATCTATTGAAAGCTCACGGAAGTCGGCCTACAAAAACATTTCAAACGTTTAACCCCATTTGACGCCAAGCAGATCAACTGATGCAAATGTTCGTGCAAGGAACATACTTAGATTTCTAATACCGTTACTTTACCGGATGCTTTTCCACCTGAGGAACCAGAACGGTTTGGAACATATTTCAATTCCATTTGGATTCAACTGTCAGGCAGTATAGTAGAGACGTTCCCTAGCTTGTTCCAATAACCATCTCTGTGAATACCGCTCACAATGTGGTTCATTTGAAAGCACGCATTAGAGCGGATTCTTGAGTACAGTTCACTCAAGCGGTTTACGAATCAATATCGCCATATAAGCAAACACCAATTTGCTGCGGACAGGCAGGGCGAAAAATGCGTCAATAGATCGTCACAGTTACTGGGTCGTCATTCGATCAGCCGGGCACACCAATCACATCGCTCAGGGTAGAACACGTTCATCCCTTCTGACGTGAATATTCAGATGCGTCCAACGTGCGTTGGTGGAGCGGCGGTTAAGCGCTCTCTTCACATGCCAGATGTCCGGGGTTCGAATCCCGGCACGGTCATTGGATCTGCACTACTGATGGGTCCTAATAAGAGCGAAACTCGAGTTCAATGCTTTCCCTTGGTGTGGGCTCACCGGAATAATTAAGCCAGAACAGGAGGACGACCGTTCAAACGAGAGTGATGTGGCTATGAACGAAAAATAAGCAATCGGAAGCCCTCCCTCGGTGAAAGCACCCTAATTGGCAATGTAAAAACAACTTTGTAGATTCACGCAACAAGACATTCTTTGTCAATGTCTGGGACAACTGAACCGATGTAAACTGAAGACTGAAAGTCGTTGTGGAACAGAGGTTGAAGACTAACTAGTGTAACCCATTTTACAGTTCATTGTTCATGTTCCATCTCCCTCTGAATAAAACAGCGCCGAGGCTTAACCTGCAGGATATGAGCTATCTTGAACGTATGAAATGAATTTTCCCAATTCGTTTTTCTAAACTGCCAAGTTTGTTGGTGCGTTGCAACCACTGTGCAGGTCTGCCTACTTTGTTTTAATAAGCATACCCTTGTGGGGCAGGGACTCGAGTTTATCATCCATACAGCCAATCATAAAGAAATGAAATAGGGTTTTGTATGACCTTTTGAGCAGGGTACGTTCCACTGAATTTGTAAACTACTGAGCACAAATCTAATCGGGAAATTCAACTGAGACACATTTTTATTCTCAGAAAAAAAACTCGACCGCTGAACCGAACAAAACAGAGCTTCGTGGAACAGAAAAGGGAGTGTTGAAGCCACAATTTCGCCCCTGAAACGGCCACATTAAACGATGATGACAGTCCTCGATTCGTCCGCCGAGCTGGGCAAACTTTTTCAGTTCAGCGAACCAACCAACGACTGTCTACGTTACCCCACTTTCACTGAAGAATACAGGGAAACGACAGTATACTTTGAAACTGAACAGATCCATTGGTTAGATGTCAACGACCACAGCATTTGCTATACGGTAGTGCTTTAAAATCACTCAGACGCAAAGTTATCACAATGTCTTGAAATTTCTGAAGTGGATCATAGCAGATCAGTGTGTGCTGGCGATGAACTTTCAATGGTTGGAGTTATACATTTGTATACAATCTTCTTATTTGTGGCTCATATTGGTACCGTTTTATTGTACTAATGTGGTAGATGAAAGACGAGCAGCCAGCCATGATCTGGATCCAGAATGAATCCCCCTCACCCTATCAGATGTTCCGATAAAGTTCACGAATTTCCATCAGTCAAACACAGACCTGTCTTTTTAAGTTCCGACAAAGATATATGTTCATGAACGATATGTGAAATTTCTAGAAGAGTCCTTTTGTTCTGCGAGTTTTGCGGGTGTGATAATCACCAAAATCAAGCAGGAAAGGCAGTTGAGTGCATTTCTTACCCAAGTTCAAAGGAACTGAAGCTGGGTAACTTCATCTAAGCAAACGATATACCCAGTATGGTGCGAGTGTAATACTCACCTCCCTTAGATCAAGTGGGATTGAGGATACTATACCTAATAAAATCCACCACCTTTAAGCTAAGTACTAGCGGATACTCATTGCAATTTGCTCTCATTCGAAAACACAAAATCAAACTTACGCAAACCAAAAGACAGCTGTGAGACAGCAATGCGCCAAGAATTCCAAGGCTACTGGCAAAAATAATCATTATTCCCAAAACGGCCAACAGCATAGGAATGATAGACAAATCCGGACCAAGCGATTTTGTGTAGCCCCTGTATTGAGTGCACATCAGGAAACCAACAGTGGCAAGACCGATTCCAGTTAGCTGAATTTCGTATTCAGTTTTGTAATGCTAAAACAAGCACTTACCAAAAACACCACGTTGTAAGCCACTAGGAATGTCCTCATGGTATGTACCATGCAACGGCGGGCCTCTTGACCCATGATGTTTTGCTTGCTTTCGAATCCCGGCTTGGGTCCAATGGGCCGTAAACGCACCAAGCTGCGTTTTCAGTCCAGCTATCCACCCTTATGTAGTGGCTGTGGACCAATCGGATGCACGCAACAATTGACCAATAAACGGACAGTCAATCTGAGGGTCGGAATGCCGTTCGGGTAGTAACACCAAGCATCGATTACCGCGTGTGAAAACGTGCTTCCATGATAAGGAAAATTTTAAGGCCAAATTTGACCAAAATTAACTTGGGATGGAGACATGGCGGTTGGTTAAGGTCGTCCATTAAACCTGCATCCATCACGATGCAAGAAGTCCTACATACTCTCAAACCGTTAAGTATGAAGAGCCCGTTCGCTCGGTGACATTCATATGATCACACCATTTAACTAGAAATGGTGAAACTGTAAACCTAATATTACCGAGATGGGGAACTATCAATAGTTCATTCTGAGGCGGGCTCAGTGACACTTACGAAAACAACCTCAAGGCTTCACGCCTGTCTCCGCACGTGAACTAGACTAAAAATTTTAGTCGAAATTATCGTGACTACAGTTTAGATCACAATCAAACTCAAAACAGGAATTTAATAAAGAAGCTTTTAAAACAAAAATCTTGGGGGATGCAATTGTCCTTTATTTCCGTGGTTTGCAAAGAAGAATTACAACTTTACTCTGCCCGAATTTCGCGGTGTTCAATTTTTTGGTTTTTGCACCAGTGATGGCCAGCTTTCAATGTCATCTATCAATCGCACACTATTCAGCAGAAAACTTTACAGAGGCTGGCCATTCAAGTGGATGCATAAGAGGGCGTTTTCATGTACACAAAGACGGTGAGTCTGATATGCGTAAGTCCAGTTCACTGGCGGTCGTTTTCAACTTGAGTTGTGATGAACATTCCTTGAGAAGTACCTTGACGCACTGCTTAAACTCATTACACACTAAAGCTCAAGGTAAACGAAGTGTAGTAACGGTATTTTCCTCAGCTTAGTTCTCGGTCTGAGCCTCCTAAGCTAGCGTTTACGTCAAAACAACCACCAAAGGTGCACAAGGTCTATTAATGCCCAAAATGAAGTCAGGAATAGTTGTACAGCGCTTCGTATATACAGCGTACGTGGTTATAACTTTCTGAAATTTCTGACGCGTTCTGGATGCGCCATTGGCAACCGGCATTCGGCCAATACTGGGTTATGATTGGCTGTTGGGTCCAGATTCTCGACCAATCAGATCCCGTCTTGATGCCGGACCAGCAAGCGTCCCGAATTCTTGGCCAGTCTCGTACGGGCTAGGCTTATCGGCCGTAGCTGCGTCTGAAGACGTGCGGTATAGCGGGATCCGTGTGGATTCCTGCCTAACACTAAGGTATTAGCTTGATAAGACGCAGCGCAAAAATAGTCACCCTGATATCAAACTGGGATAGGCTATTGATTGATCATTTTTTCAACTGTTACGTAATTCGTGAACTTTGCATTTTCATTGCATTCTTTGGAGCTGTCTTCTTCCTGTCGTGCTGCAGTTGCTTCGATCATTCTACACAAAAACTGAGGGCGCTTCCGTCATGGACCATTGGAAGTACCGGGACAGGACGGGCCTCCGGGACATAAGGTCAGAGTGTTTCCACCAATGCAGCATTGAAAGTTGGATGAACCTAAATTTTCAGAATTGAAGGGCAGTTTTTAAGCGTCCGTGAAGCTACCTACTGGGTAAACCATTTTGTCGGTAAAAAAGTAAGGGGTGTTGGGCGAAAAACGGAATTAAATGGATCCAAGTCTCACGAAACCTCGAGTAATTCTGCCACTAAATGAGTCGATAGATGCTATTCTGAATATATATCTGGATTTCAAACTGACGGCTACGCTTGTCTTGATGAAAGAGTGAAGGGATCTTGAATGGCCAAGCTGAGGATGACGGTCACTTAGTTCCGGTCAGGCAGGTTAACCACCAACGCTACCCGACGAATACAGAGAATCGCACCCAGCTCATTCCACTCTCTGATCGATCGATGAACATGCTGTTAAAGCTGAACTATTTTGACGGCGCATCGTATCGACTAGGCATCATGCTAGGATGTAGCCTTGGACTCAGGTGTACGGCAGTGCGGAAAGGTGCACAGTGACCAAGGTGGGTACGACTGAATGAATAGAACATTACTTTTGAGGAAGTAAGCTCTACGCATACGTTCTCTGTCGTAAAGGTACTTTACTAAGCATTCGTTCAAGAAAATTTCAAGATCACTTACAATTTTCAATTGCACATCAGTGATTGGACGGGCTTTGTACACCTTGGAAACTCACCGCTCACCTTCTGGATAGCTTGATGAAGGCAGCGTCAACTGTTTCCATCTAAATGGCGTCGTTTGACGGATTAGGTGTGATTAATTGGTCGTTTTAGAATAGTTCTACAAAGCCAACTAATCATTTGTCTCTCGGGAGAGACGCTTACCACTTATTGGCTAGAATGCAGTGGACTCAAATTTGTCTGCAGATTCTCTAGTTTTAAACCAATGGTGGTTAAAACCGACGACAAACAAGTGCATACTCAAGACCATTTCAGTAGCGCTTAATTCTGCCATGGAAGCTCAGATGCGACTGGAATTCTGGGGAAAAGCAAGCACTGAAAGGGACTGGACCAAAACCAAGATGAAAACACTGGCTGCTGTTTTGAAACTCAGCAGTTGCTTTTTTCAGGACACTCCCGTTTGCTTAGCCATCATCCTGTTGAAATGGGATTGGTTCCATTAGTCTGCGACAAACAAACGAAGCACTAGACGACAGAGTCACTCTACTTGGATCTCACCTGTGGCGTGCATCTTCAGTCGCATCAGGATGTCACCTGACCGCGTCAATACTACTTTAATGAATGTTTCTCACCACACCTGGATTATATCACCTGAATGTTTGATCTTCTCTGGTTTTAAAGTGTAGAGGGACAGCCTTGGACCACTATCCGAGTTTTCATGTGTGATCTGCGATGGCACAATTTAGATCAAGCATTTTGACCTTTGCTTGGTTCAAATAACCCACATAGATATTGCTGAGGAGCACACAGTTATGTGGAAAGGTTACTTTGTATTCATCCAGTACTGATGTAACTCAATACTAAGAATCCGAAGGTAGCAACCGTCACAACTGGCAGATATCGTGATCGGTTTTGATGTCGGCATTCTTCAAGTCCAGAGATAGCCCACTGTGTACCAGAGCAGAGGGAATGTACTTCTAACGATCGTAAAAAGTTTCCAAAAGCACAGCTTCGTTTCCGAAGATTAGAGACGAATTCCATATTGTTCAATAAAACCTATGGGCAGAATAGAAGTAGCTCTGTTTCAAGCAACAAAAACAGGCACACCTTGAACATCAGGAGTTTGGTAGAATCAACAGAAAATCAAGTTCGAGTAGGACATAACGTTGACGGGAACTCGGAAACTGTGCCTACCTGATTAGTCCCAAGAAGGGCGAAACCGGTCGTGGGCTGTCGAAGAGTTTTCAGTAACCTTGTGAGTAGTTTGCTTCATGATACTGTGAAACCGTTTGGGAATATCAAGGAGTAATCGGCCACGTTATGAGTAATGTGCTATTTCAAGATGTGCTGTAACATCTTGAATACCATGCCTACCATGATGTGAGACAGCATTTGAGCAGCACATTCACCTGGGGCTCATTTAGGTCCCCTGTTCATACGAACTTGCTTTGGAGTGGTTGAAAAACCGAAGCTCCCGACAGACAATACCATGGTACAGACCCGAAACTAACACCTGAGCTACATGGTCCGGACTCAGACAACACTGTTGTACTTCAGCCCCTTCGCCTACCCGATGAGCCAGCAAAAAGGCTGTCGGAGTTTTCAGCAACATTATGAATAGTGTATTATGTTTATATTGCGATATCGAGGATATCGTACCAACTGAAAACATGGGGTGGCCTGGTACAGCATATATTTAGAATTTCATAGACCAGAGATTCAGCTGAATACCAGGTAGGTCTCCCGTAAAAATCGACTGAGTACGCAGATGAGTGTGTATGTAATACCTCCCTGTTTCGTTCGAATGACGTGGTAGGTATGCCTCGGAAGATTCCACATCTGACTCACCACTGTACACGGATGACCCTAAAAGGGTGAAAACTATTTGAAGCCCAGAGTTCAAAGAAATGCAGACGTCCTCCGTTTCCAAAAACATATCACAGTTTGTATGCTGGAAGAATCCTCATTAGTAGTCATCAAAGGTAACGCTCTGAAAAGAGGACCATCGAAGAACAGATTTTCGACAAAGCACATGGTTACTAGTGGATGACGAGTAGTATAACTTCATCTAGAAACTGCAGAATAGTCTACTACCAGTGGAAGGAAGAAGTCATTCGCTGCGGAGTTATTTATTAGAAAATGACAACTGAACAGTTACAGACTATTGGACAGGGAAGCAAAACTCTCATATACATCTTGATTACAAAAACTGAATATCCATATTCTCCTTGAACGCGTCTTTCTGAACTTCCCTGGAAATCCATTGACTGTCGCTCAAATCCCAGCAAATGCTACAAAGCGACTCCACGAATTCCGCAATAGATCTCCCTTTTTCAAGAGACGCAAAGCGAATTCACAAGAAAACATGCTACTCTCATGCCTCCCCCATGAGTAGTATCACCGTTACACCAGGTGATCCTCAAATAGGCTGCCTCCGCCTTGATTCACAGACTTTCCACTGCGTAACACCGTTATCTTATTTCAAGCTAATCTCCTTTCGTTCCATATATACCAGTCACTCGACGAAGAAAACACCCACATGTGGAACTGAATTTTCTCTCCGTAGATGGTCGCATCTTAATGCACTACTCATAAGGTTGCTGAAAATTCTTCAACAGTGTGCGACCGGTTTCGCCCTTCTCCAGGCCCATCATGTAGGCACATTCCACAAGTTCTACTTGAACCCAAATTGCACAAAATAAGCGAATTACACTCATTTGCTAACAAAATTGGTTTTGCGAGGTACTCATCTGGAACCCAGCCTAATCTCTCGCCCATGATGGTGTCGGTACATTCAGTTGCTTAGAAACATCAAAAACGAGGAATTAAGCTAGTTCCCAGGTGAGTCTCTCGTAAAACCAAATTTACCTGCAAATGAGTGTGCTTCGTTGGTCGTATCCTGTTTAGAGAGGATACATGAAACATGAGGTACCTCCTTTGACTTATGTACTTGATTGAAGAAAATTTCGGTATCCTTGTGTGCTCTCAGCGACATACGATTTGGTCAGTTCAATCGTACTGCATGCCGAACCATTTATTGACCTTGAATAAGTGAACCCGGGACAAGCTCGGGTGCATCAGAGAGACATACCTGCGTGTTTGTCATTGGTACGTACTCCCCATGTCGAAAAAGTTTCATTTTTGTCTTGACTAGCTAGACCTAAAGGAAAACCCAAATCGATAGATGTATGCTCTAAAAGTATGACAAAATGGTGAACACCGGACGATGGGAAAATAAAGTAAGCAAATGAAGTATGGGGTGTGTTGCATTGGATGAGTGCCCAGTTTCTATAGTGATCATTTATATTGCAGCTATATGTTGAATGTAGTTTTACCTCAAATGGAGTAACACTCACAAATGTCGGAGGCACAACTGTAGGAGTTGGGATACGCTGTAGAACAGCTGTTTTTGTGTGAAACACAGCTTGTATATCCAGATAACTGAAAGAGTTCATTCGGGGCCTGGTTCTGAGAGATGGTTTCAACAATTCTTTAACAAGAAACTATCTTTTATCGTTGGATGTGTGGGAATGTCAGGCGTCTTTATAGCAACAAATGCGATTGTCATTACCAACGATTGTGATAGTGTTGTATCGTGGGTGGCCGTCTATTGGTTATGCCGCCAGACTACGCGAATGGCCAAATATGGTCGTTCGCTCCGTACAGCCAATGGCGGTGTTCTGGTCGTGAGCAATCTCAGGCCCACTACGCTGGTCTTATGTTGCTAAGCTGTCTTTGGTTAGCTTCGCGAACTCACCTGCTTTCCGGACGTGTCGTACTGATGGTGACCTTGGGGATGCGTCACTCTCTGCACATGTGCTTTTTTCCCGTCCGGGCGCGCCCTGACTGATAGCTCCAACCAGTTTGAGGTTGTCTATCTTCCAAAAACACTGTTGATCTGTTCGCCAACCTTGGAAATTGGTTTGCAAACGTTTCGCCCACGGGAGACACCGTCTCAACGATTACCTATTATCAGAACCTACAATAACGGCATTTTCCTCAGCTTAGTTCTCGGTCTGAAACGCCCAGCATTTCCATCAAAACAACCACCAAAGCTGCACAAGGTATACTAACGCCGAAAACCGAGTCCGGAACACTTGTACAGCGCGTCATATATAGAGTGTGAGCAGCGATAACCTTCTGGAAATTCTGACGCCTTCTAACTGCGCCACTGGGGACCGGATTCGGCCAATACTGGGTCCAAACTTTCGACCAATCAGATCTCGGTTTGATGCCGGACCGAGAAGCGTCCCAAAATTCTGGCAAATCTTGTGCAAGCTAGGCTTCTCTGCAGTAGCAGCGCCTAATTACGAGAGGTAAAGCGACATCCATGTGGTATTCCGCCTAACAGAACCTAAGTCCAATTCAACTGGGAGTGAGGTGGATCACACTAATCAATAATTTGTAGCACAAATTACCTAACTCACAAAACACTTAAAGCCTGGACTTGGGTATCTGAAATTAGCTCGTCATTATTAGGCAATGTTACGTTGGAAACACGATACGGTGCCTATCCTACTAAAAATAGGATCCTTCAGACTTCTGATTTGCGCTACGTTTAGTCTCCGATGCGCCTTGTTCAGGCGAGACGTTTGAGTGTTTAAGAATATATGAATAGTTAAATACGGGTACTACCACATCTCCAAAATTATCGGTTAGGACGCAAGCGCACCTTGTTAGGATGGGAAAACGAGTTAGAACGCCGTTCATCAACACAGGAGTCAGTAGTATCAATATCAAAGCCATTTCCATTGTCAAAACAATTGAAAGGCATTCGCACAGTCACACAGATGACCTTGGTTGATCAAATGAGGCTGACCAGGAAACAAACGAAAGAAAAAACGTGAACAACGACGGAAGAGAACAAGCACAAAGACACAGCCGTCCAAATCGATCGATGACTAGTCAAACAGCATGGTTCTGAACTACGGCGCGAACAGTCGAGGAGAAATAATAAAAACAAATCAAAATGAAAAAGCACGGTCGTCAACCAACGTTGCGGACAGGATGAAACCTAGTGTTTTTAATGTACGTATGCGGATATAGGATGGAACGAAACAAAACGAAATGGATAGGTACCAACCGGATCAAGAACAGTTCATTAACTAGCGATCAGAAGGTCAGTTGACAGCAAGTACCAACGAGCGGAAAAAACATCGCGAGTGATTGGCTGCGTAGATTGCAGACTAGGCCAGTAGAGCACGAATTCGTCGTGAGGCACAAGGTGATGTGAGTGGACGGTGGGTGAGAACCGACAAACATGGAGCAAAGCATTGAACGGTCATCTAGCGGTGGCGAACGGTATACTGGATGGTTGCGCGAAGAAACACGAGAGGTAAAACGTAGACAACGAAGATGATGACGACAACAGTGGCAAATGCAGGTTCATCCGGGTGAACCAACGAAGAGATGGCATTCTTTTTGGCGCTGATGGTACAAGTATGACACTGGATGAAAAGAAGGGAGACAGGCCTCCCGAAGTCGACTACGAGGAAATGGAGAAATAGTGTGGAAACTGAAGTAACTGATATATCTGCAACTCGTCTTTGCGGAACTGCTCGCCTTTGAAATCCGCATTCAAAAGGATGCAACTGATCGAGGCTGGCAGTTGACGAGTTTTACGGACTATCAGCAATGGCCCAGAAGAGGCCCACTAGAAGTCCACACGCACACCCTCGCAGCGGAAGGCCACGTTACCAGCTGAATATTCAATGTCGCACAGACTGGCCGCGGGCAACACGTGGAATCCACTTGCTTGCAGGCGGGATTCACCAGTCTCGCGGTCCAAACGTCCACATGGCGTGCGAAGCCAACAAGTCCATTCATACGGTTCGTCTGTAGGCAAGACAGTAATCGTATTGGCAGTGTTCTCTGACGCGGATGTCCGACAGAGATGTTCCACATCTGAAGAGGGGAATTGGGTAGGCGAGGCGATTCGCATTTATCGCGTGAACGAGAGAAGTAAACTTGTAACCTACCGAATTCATGTCTTAAAAACACCTCATGAATGCACTCGTTTCTGGTGAAACGCCCGTAAAATATATGAACACCCCTGATACTCGGGGAATGAAGGTTTGTTACTCGAACACGAGGATTCATTCGTTAGTAAGACGAACGTTGTAGTGACAGTTACGGTAGTTCGTCGTGACTCGCGTAACAAGACAATGAGATAAGTGCAATAGCTAATTTGGCAAGCGTTCACTGAGATCTGTTCGGTCATTAAGTGCCTCGTGTAAACATCAAATGGGTCTGGGGTGAATAGAATCACCCAGTGATTGTCACTGTATGCAATTCAGTTTGATAATTTTCTTACTTGTAGTGTTAACAACAGCAGCCAACAGATCGAACGATGGAGTGACGTTCAAAAACGGTTTGTGTATGTGCTAGAATGGCGTATCAAAATTTCGCAACATGGTGTTCTGAAACATTTATGTCAAGGTGTCCAGAGATTAACCGCTCTCAAAAGCTGGACATCACGTCGATCGGACGGAGTGTCACGTGCGACCTACGGGCCGTGATTGGCCAAAACGTCAGCCAATCTCGATCGAGCATCTATAGCTCGATGCTTCTTACCCCATTACGAAGATTCTTGCGCGACCTAGTGGAACATTCTGCGATGACCCTTTCGTCTCCATAAAGGGTTTTCTCAAGGTAACTCGCCTTGTGATATACCATAGTGGGCGAAGCATGAGACCAAGAACCAACATATAAGTTGGACCACTGTCGGCAAGATACAACAAAATGAATAACAGAGGTAAGCCTCACGTGCAAAAACAGGGTCGTAGACGAGGCATAGGAGTGTTTTGACGAAATATGGCTACAGAAGTCGTTGATGTCATCGTTGATAAGACAGTCAGTCCCATCGTGGTTAGTTAGATGTACAGAATGTGTGGTGACACAGCTGACCTATGAATAAATGGGACGTTGGCTGCAATGATGCACGGATATTCCGCTCCTTAAATATTTGTTTTTGCCACCTGCATTCGCTGCTTGCTCAGTAGGGATGAACCCTCCAACCACAGAGAGGCACTATTTAGTAGAGAACAATTTCACGTTCCAACACTGTGCACATTTCGCACAGTTATTGTGAATTGAACTTTTGTCATCAAAAAGGGAAACATCTCAATAGATGAAAATGCTGAGTTACATGGTAAGCGGTGTTGGAATCTCTAGCTGACAAAAAAACTAGTTCACCCCACTTATTTACATAACAAGTTAACTGTGAATGCGAAAGCGTCCAAAGTTTGAGGTATGAGCTACTACTAACCGACCCAACCCGGGTCCTCTAGGCTCGGGAAACCTAATGAAATATTATTCGAAGCGATCAGGTGGTAGAGGTTCATCAAATCAGTGACTTCACCCTTGGGATAGCTGAACATCAACAACTAATTGAACCCGGCCAACTCCAAGTTTTCAGAGCCTGAATCTTGTACTTTCATGTTCGAAAAAAATCGAGTGGTTGGATGTTGCATCTCATGTATTTGCATCAACTTTAAGTAGGTGTATTCCAAACTGCTGTGCGCGTTTTTACCACACGGTAGAAGAAGGAACGCTCTATCTGTAAGCAACGTTTCTTTTCGAAATCATACTTTCGTTGCATCAAGTCCTGACCACCTAGATTGGTTCACTCACAAAAGCCACTGGGATTTCTACACTTTGACTCTTGTTTACTCTGGGAAATTTTAAACAATCAAGCGCGTTGAATGATTGGCAGTGTATCGGCAAGTAAGGAACGTACAGGGAACCTCTGGTGGACTGGAACCCATTATTAAAACACTGGATCATAAAGAACCGCGTCAAAACTGACTGTTAGAAGGAATCCCAGATAAGTGCTGATCTCTATTGTTTCCCCAGGTTGCACCAAATCACGGACCACGTCACGCACGCTTCTGGCGGCTTAACTCATCGATTGGTTAATCAATACATGTGTCATGATCGTCGCGAAAGATGATTAAGTTCACTTAACCTGATTGGTTGACTTCCCTAATCGCTCGCGTCACGTTTGTCACTTTCGCCATACAGAAGTTTCATGACTGGTTTGTTTTGGTTCCACTCGAAGGGTACTGTGGCCTGTGGTAGGAGGCGTCAGAGCACCAGCTCATTTCCGTGCACTACGGAAGCACAGTATGCTTTAACCACAATACACAACGTAACTGGGATGTCGTATGATATGGAAACAGACCAATAATTACGCTCAGCGGTTTTATACAGATCACCCTAACTTACTAGTTAGTTCCTCAAGAAAAATACTCTTTTTAGGAGCAAACTACTTGAACTTCAAGAGTTCATTTTTCAGCCGGTGTTGCAAACCATGAACAGCACTCAAGTACCCTAAAACATGCCAAACCAACTATGTCTAAATTGAGTTGCTTTATTAGAAATCCCTGTAACTCACGCAGACTGGGCATTACGTTTGAGATAACCGGCAAACCCAGTATGTATCAAACTAATGGCCAACCATATTGCTGACAATCACCGTCATGAGTTCTCCTTCGTTCATCGGAAAAAATGGTCAGTCAGTCATCTCACATGCAACAAGTAGATTTTACTGTTGGCAAAAAGCTTGGCAAAGTCCTATCGTAGTTCAAAGTAGATCCTTTAATTCAAACATCCCTATGCCTACCCGACTCACGGAGACCATAACAGCCTTACAAACAGACCACTGTAGGTATTCTCACTCCCATCGGTCTTATTCTTCATATACCATGTTTGGTTCACACAAAAAGCAAGACAACGAGGCAGCTTCCTTCCGCCGTGTTACACCACCGACTTTCAAAGCTTCCCAAATTACTGAAGACTTTGAATCCTCTGAGCTAGTGAACCACAGGACGAGTTTAAACTCCGAAATGTCCTTCGGCTATCCCCTAGTCACGTAAATGATGTTGCACACTGATCTTCTAATGTGACAGCCCACACGATTATGCGAGGCGGCCTTAAACTGGTACAAAAGACGCTTGGTTTGTGCACCATCCCAACTTTTTGGGCGTATAACCTTATTTTGTGCTCGCGAGAAGACGATGGGAATGCAGCCAGTCCAGCGAAAGCACCATTCGATCGGCAACCTGAGCGAAAATCTCCGTAGGTGTGTGGCGAAGGGCAAACTAGCAGATAATCAAAGCTCTCAGTGGACTGTGATTCCAGAAGGGCACATATGCAGTCTTTATTAAGTTGTAATAGCTTCAAATAGCTTCGAGAGTTGACAGATCTGCTGCCTCTATCACTCCATGTTGAAAAGTATAGGTATTGCGGATGCCCATCAAATCCACCAAACGTGAGCATAGTATCTTTACACTACTGATACATTGTTAGTAGACATGAATTAATGGACAACTTCAATGGCATTGGAAAAGGGCCTAGGAACAGAATTGCCCGAACTAACCATGCGGACCCCACTTGGACTTGCCCTCCAACAGTGCTTCGCCAATCATCGGATGCAGTGCCTCACCGGAAAGAACATAGGTACGCGCCCGGACACGACTGAAGAACTCCACAGCCATTTCATGTGGGACGCGAGGAAGATAGGTTGGAACCCAAATCAAATCGAGGAAAACTGGTGGACCAGGTGGCAGGACGGGCGGAGTTGCAGCTGTAGTCAGAAATAAATTCGTCTGAATATGCCGCATGGTGATGCGCCAAGGTTGTTGCTTGGGTGCGAGTATTGAATTTTATGAAGATTATGCTAAACAATTTCACATCCTTAACTAAACCAAAAACTTTACCTTCGTACAATTACGTGAGCTCATATACTTCGCGACATCTCTTTCCACTAAGGGAGATTTCACTGAATATAAAATCATGTTAGAACAAGAACTAAGGGATGGGATGCACGGAAGGTGTTAAAACGGAAGTTGTACTGTTCATCAAGTGGGTATGGCAACGAAAGAACCTTGTTGAGTAGGGTCACCAAACAGGAAGGAATACGGGGAGCCAGGGTGACAAATAAAATATAAGACGAATGAGACCTTGATGATCAGTCCATTAGCCTACGATGGTGAGTTTTATATTAAATGCATACGTGCGGTCTCCGTCGTTCTATCATCATCGCCTCCACCTGGCAAAAAATATTGGGGGCTCCTGAAGTCCAACGGTTCGGATTGCCTCCAGTGTTCCAGCGCAGTTGGAATACAATAGGTGTTTTGGTATGGTGTCTTAGACTGTTTAACTGCAGCCCGATAGGATAGGATCTTCTGTTGTACGTGTTATTCTCCACGTACACTTGGGCACCGATCATAGAGGCGAGAGCCGGGGAGGCCAAGCTCAAAGGTCAAGTGGTCACTGACCAATCAAGACACAGGATAACAGACCAATCAATAGAACTGCCCGACTGAACAACCGGTCGTGATCGGAGGTCATTCCCGACTAACAGTAGGTGATTAACACAGACGCATCGCTGCTCAACGCAGCCGCTGGGCTCCATTTCACATGCTAACAGTAACGAAGTCACCTTGATTAGTGATGGAGCGTTTGTATTGGAATTGCCCAGGTCGCCGAACAAACAATCGGCCGATCACGCGCACTCGTCTGATAGATATTGCTACAGACGTCCGTGCAGTACGGTTAATCGTGGACAGAGCAGGTAATTTTTACGCCATTTAGATAAGAAACAGAATCTTGACTTGGGGAACATTAACACTGTGTAGTAAGATCAATGTCTGTTGTAGGACAAGCTGAAAAAACCGGCTTCAGGATAGGCACGACCAGGCGAATTGACATACACGTTTTTCACCTGACTGGACGATTGTTCGTCAGTGTCTTGATTGATCGCTATACCTATTCTGCGTCGGGTGGGGAAGCGAAGAAGGATGGAAAACTATAAGCCTAAAGAGTCTTGGACCTGTCTGATCTGAA